GGCCGCCCCCCTCCGCCCCGGCCTCCCGGGCCCCGCCCGCCCCTGCGGCCCCCACGGGCACTCACTGCTCGGGCGGCGGCCTGAGCGGCGCCGCCCCGAGGCGGGAGGGCCGCCGGGGCCCCTCTGTCCGCGGGAGGAGGCGGGGGCCCGGGGACCCAGTCCCGCCGGGTGGGGTCCCCCCGCCTCAGACACTCTGCCCAGCGGGACGCCGCCCCCCACGCCTCCTCCTTCTGGCGATCGGCGCGGTGAAGTCTGTGCTTGAACAGTGCCAAAAAGTCAAAATGTCCGCCACGGGGACGAATCCGGAAGTCCCGCCCTAATCGGATGCACTGGCTCCAAAGGCCCCGCGTAGGCGCATTGCTTTCTGGGAAATGTAGTTCTCTCAGCCGCCCAGGAGAGGGCTGGCTTTCCAGCCCAGGAACCTGAGGAACAAGGTGTTGTTGGGCTGCCAGTGGGGCTGGGGAGGGAGAAGATGGGCCCAGAGGCCTGGTGACCTGGGACAGACCGACGGACCTCCCAGGGGAGAGGGGGGGAGGGCTGGAAATGATTCCCCAAAGAGCATATACATGGGGGAAATGTGAGACATCTGTAATATTTTCAACAATAAATAAAACATATTTAGCTGAAACCGGTTTGGCTCAGTGGATAGAGTGTCGGCCTATGGACTGAAGGGTTGATTCTGGTCAAGGGCATGTACCTTGGTTGCGGGCACATCCCCAGTAGGGGGTGTGCAACAGGCAGCTGATCGATGATTCTCTCTCATCGATATTTCTAACTCTCTATCCCTCTCTCTTCCTCTGTAAAAAAAAAAAAATAAAAAAAAATTTTAAATAAATAAAATATATTTTTAAATTATATATATATATATATATATATATATATATATATATATATATATATATATACACACACATACATACATACATACTTCAAACGAAGATAGCCCAGCTGGTGGGGCTGAGTGGTTGAGCGTCAACCTATGATCCAGGAGATCAGGATTCTATTCCTGGTCATAGCACAGATGTGGGTTAGGGGTTCAATTCCCACTATGAAGTGGACTTGCAGGAAGCAGGTAATCGTCATTCTCTGTCATTATTAATGTTTCTCTCTCTCTTTCTGTCTATAATGCATATCAAGTATATACATATATGCATAGCCCATGGACACAGGTTAAAATGTGGAGAGCTCCTACAAGCAATGGGGGCCCAACAGAGGGAGGCACAGAAGCAGGATAGAGAGAAATGGGAGGCATCTGTAATTGCTCTAAAATTGAAAACAATAGTGCACCCAGCAGGTGTGGCTCAATGGGTGGCAGTGGACCCATGAACCAAGAGATCACTGGTTTGATTCCTGGTAGGGCGTATGCTTAGGTTGGTGGCTTGGTCTCAGTAGGGGGCAGGCAGGAAGCAGCTGATCAATGATTCTCATCTTTGATGTTTCTCCCTCTCCCTCTCTCTCTAGAAAATAAAAAAAAAAAACATTTTTAGAAAAGGAATAGTGTTAAGATTGAATTTACTTGCCCTAGCCCATTTGGCTCAATGGATAGAGCATTGGCCTTTGGAACGAAGGGCCCCAGGTTTGATTCTAGTCAAGGGCACATTTGAAGGTTGCAAGCTTAACCCCACACCCTGGACAGGGTGAGTGTGGGAGGCAATCAGCTGATGTGTCTCTCTCACATGGATCCTTTTTAAAGTATATATTTCTTTAATTGATTTCAGAGAGGAAGAGAAATAGAAACACGATGAGAGAATCCTTAATCGGCTGCTTCCTGCATGCTCCCTACTGAGGATCTAGCCTGCAATTGGGGCATTTACCCTTGGCTGGAATTGAACCTAGGACCCTTCCTTCCTCAGGCAGACTATCCACTGAGCCATACTGGTTAGAGCTCACATGAATGTTTTAAAAAAGGAAATCATTGTGGAGGAGTCTGTTATAGCCAACAATATAAAAAATGTGTTAACATTTAATTGACCCAACAAAGCCAAAGCCAGTGTGGGCCATCACTTTTCCCACCAGCCCTTGTGAGAAAAACCATGCGTTGGTCTGTCTTTATAGAGGGGGTCCCTGGGATCGGGAACAGGAAGCAGCCTGGAGTGGGCCGGCCTCTGGTTGGCCTGGAGTGTTTGAGTTCTTGACCTCATGCTGAAAAGATTTCACAACGTGAATTCAGGTGATTTCCAGGCACGTGTGTTGAAGCCGGAGCTAATGAAAACAAAGGCAGGCCCTAGGACAGAACAAGCCAGCAGCACAGACCAGGTGGGGCTCCTGTGAGCGTGGTGGGAAATGAGTGAGCCACAGCGGGGCTGTGGTCAGCTCTCTGGAGGACCAGAGAGAAGGGGGCCTGAGCGCACACTCAGGGGGTCATCCCGGGATGAGCTGCTGCTACTATTGCTGCCCCCGTTGCAGGTCAGGTGGGGACCCTTACAACCTTAGAAGGGCCCAGCTTGCAAGGCCCAGTGGTTGAACAGGGCCTTGATGAACCACCGATGAACCAGGTCAGAACACATGCCAGGCTGTGTGCTCGATCCCCACTGTGCGATGTGCAAGAGGCAGCTGATCAATGAGACTCTCTCATCATTGCTGTTTCTCTCTATGTCCCTCTCCATTCCTCTCTGAAACCAACAAAAATATATTTTAAGCCAAAACCGGTTTGGCTCAATGGATAGAGCAACTTGGGGACCGAAAGGTCCCGGGTTCGATTCTGGTCAAGGGCATGTACCTTGGTTGCGGGCACATCCCCAGTAGGGGATGTGCAACAGGCAGCTGGTCGATGTTGCTCTCTCATCGACGTTTCTAGCTATCTCTCTCCTTTTCTCCTCTCTGTAAAGTATCAATAAAATATATTAAAAAAAAAAAAAAAAAAGACTGCACAACTTATGCTTATAAAGTTATGAACAATATGAACTATTCCATTGTAAAGGGAGGAAAATCCATGACTTTATGAAGGGCCAAAAAAGGCATAAAGAGATTATAAAAGCGCAGTAGGAAAATACAGAAAAGTAGCAAAAAAGTGGAAAGAGTAGGTGTAGAGTTATTGGTGTGGCAATTAAGAAATACTTCCCTGACAGTGTGCCTCAGTTGGTTGGGCACCATCCCTTGCCCTAAAAGTCACAAGTTCCATTCCTGCCTGGATGCCCTGTAGGTGGTGTGGAGGCAGCGGTTAGCTGCATCTTTTCCATATTGCCATTTCTCATTCTCTGTCTCCTTCCTCTCTTTCTAAAAAGTCAGTAAATTATTTTAAAGATATGTAAGATACTTATTTTCTTTTAAATGAGAATAAACTTGCATAGTCACATCTTTAAGCCTAGTTTTGCCCTAACATGTATGTGGGTGAGAGAGAAGTTCATTTCACAAGTGATGGGTTTATGGCTTGATCCCTATATTCAAGCTCACAAAATAGTACACACAAGGAAAATGCATTGTGTTACATTTCGGTTATAAAGGTACTAAAAGCCAGCCTTAAACGTACTTTCAAATAAAGACCTAGATTTTCCTGTCTTGATAGGAAATTAAAATATCAAACCCATATGGGCTCTACCATCTCTCCCCGAATTTCCTGGGAGGACCAGCCTTGCCTCAGTGGCAGCAAATGTTGGCAAGCAGTGAAGGTTACGGCCATTAGAATGAACAGAAATCACAAAAGACACATCCTGAGACTGACTACAGGTTATCCTTCTCCTTGCTCTGAGGTCTTGCATACTGAGCAAACCTCAAGCTGAACACCATCGATGGGTGAGGCGAATCCAAAAAAACACATTATTTTTTGTTTCAATTATTTCAACCACAGGAGACAGTGACGGAGGTCCTGAGAACGTGTGTACAGAGATCACAAAAGCCACAGCCCACAGCCACTTCTGAATAAGGTTGAGAAGAGGCACTTTTTAACAGGTTTACTTATCTTTCCTACGCACTATGAACACAGTGTTTCTTACTACTTTTGGTTCAACATAAATCTCATTGTCTTAAAACAAAAGGCACAAGCCTATGAAATTTTATACATTACGGCCCATAGCAGCTTTACAGTATGTGGGAAGAAGCCCCCTAAACATTGCTGAGAATTCTGAAAGCCATACTGTGAACAGAGAATATAATTCGTGTTGTTCACAGAAGCACTACAAAGGCCTCCTTTTCTGGGTGACCACTGACATCATTAATAATGGAGGCACCGGGCTGAAAATTCAAACCACAAAGTCGTGCAGTCTTTCAAGATTTTGGAATGCAATGATTAAAAGCCAATATTGAACAGAGAGTGATTTTCTGTCAGTATGGTGTGTGTTCAAAAGCAAAGAAAATTTGGGACCCCACCATATCTGTTTTGTTCTCTATGTTGAAAGATCACAACTTTCCTATCAAATCATTCCAGGGAGTCAATAGAATGATCAAAATTATAGGTACAAAAGAAAAAAAAAACACACCTTTGCATAAAGATCATAAACCAGAAGAGAACTCTAAGCGGATTGCAGTAATTTAGAAGCTGAAGCAATTCATCACAGCATAACGTGAGAGCAATGTTCCTGAAAGAGATGACACTTCGTAGCTGAGAATGGGAGCTCTGGATGACCCCTGGGTCAGTTTCATCCTCTAGTCCGAGATATAGGAATGAAGATCCTGTCAAGAGCTCAGAGTAATCATACTTTTCTCAAGGACAGGAGAAACATGGAATACACTTCCCCTGAGCACTCCCGGTGGTGATGGGTGCACACTCTTCAGGTGACACAAGTGTTGGAGGTGAAATTTTTTTCAGCCACAAACACTTGCTGCGATATCAATCAGGTAGTAGTTCTGGGCATGTTAGCTAGTGCAATGGAAGTCCCTTAAGCCTCACTTACACCTGAAACTTATGAGGACTCTAGCAGAGTGTATGTTCTCTTAAAAGGGGTTTATATTCAGATAAATACGTCAAAAAAGAATCACCTTCAGTGATATTATTCTAGTGAGAAAAATAATACATTATGAGCACATTTAAGGTTTGTCTCCAGAGTGAACTCAGTGGTGTTGAGTAAAGGTAGACCTTTGACTGAATGACTTCTCACAGTCGCTATACTCATATGGCCTTTCTCCAGTGTGAACTCTCTTGTGGGTAAGAATTTGACTATTGCACCTAAAAGATTTCCCACAATTGCCGAAACCGGTTTGGCTCAACGAATAGAGCTGACACTGAGGGTATGCTGAGCGTGGACCTCTGAGCTGGGGAGGAGGAGACTGCTGCGAGGGGAAAGAGAGGTGCTGACAGAGGGGACACTGAAAAATAATAATAATAAAAAAAATCAATAAAGAGAAAAAAGGGAGAAGGAAATAGCAGAGAGGACTGAAGAAAGAGAAAGAGAGGGCTTGCAGTGACTGTCACTGGGAGTCTGGCCTGTACAGTGAGTGGAAAGCATATATTCTGACCTCCTGCTCCACAACAAGGTGAGGTGCTAAAACGCTTTGTCGTATGTTTGGAAGAATTAAAAACTTTCCTGGCCAGCAAAGAGCTCACCTTTGCTGAGCTGGAACAACCAGAGTGGCTGGAAAAATTACATTTTATGGTAGACATGACAGCACATCTAAACACACTAAATACAACCCTTCAGGGGAAAGGAGGCACAGCCCTGCACATGCTGGAGGAGGTTTTGGCATTCGAGCGCAAGTTGACAGTGTTTGTCAAAGATTTACAGAGAGGTACACTGTCTTACTTTCCCTCTTTGAGAGAGTTCAAACAAAGTCATGATATGATAAATTTGGAATATTTGAAATCTGCAATCACCACAATGCAAAGTTCGTTTGGGAAACGATTCTGTGAGTTCAGAGAGGAAAAAACCACATTATCCTTCCCTGTCACTCCCCTGGCAATTGATCCATTCCTATTGAATATGACTGCATTTGTAGGTGTAAGTCAACCTGATCTTGAGATGGAACTGTCCGATATAGCCGACAAAGATATATGGGTGTCCAAGTTCAAATGCTTGCCTGCTACTTTTGAGGATGTTGCCCATCAGAAGGCCATTCTGGCTCAGAATCATAAATGGAGTGCTATTGAAAACCTTTCCAAACAGGACAAACTTGTATTCGAAACATGGAATGTCATCCCCAACACTTATATAAACATGAAAAAGTATGCATTTGGAGTCCTGTCGATCTTCGGCTCCACATATGTATGTGAGCAGGTCTTCTCCAACATGAACTATATTAAAAACAAACATCAGTCATGCCTCACAGATGACAACTTGCAAACCTGTGTGAAAATGAAGGTAACGTCTTACAACCTTGATGTGCAGACACTATGCACTGAGGTTCAGAAGCAAAAATCACATTAACCAGGTAAATTAAATATTTTAATTAGCTATTAATTTGCAAAAATATATTTTACATTGTTAAGTGAAAAAGTCCTTTTTTTCTTCAGATTGACAGCTAAATGCACAATCTGGTATATAGCATTAAGGTAAGAAACAACATATGCAGTGTTTGTTTTAAATGTCGCAATGGTTTTGCAGCTCCCAGGTGTTTTGTTTTCCTTTGGAAACGGGTCCAAGTGGCTCTTTATGTCTTAAAGGTTGCAGACCCCTGCTCTAGAATGAACTCTCTGATGTTCAATGAGGCTTGAAATACGACTGAAGGACTTCCTACAATCTGTACAATCATGACTTCTCTCTAGTATGAACTTTCTTGTGCCTAAGGAGGTGAGCATTCCGCCTAAAGGAATTTCCACAGTCACTACATACATACGGCTTTTCTCCAGTGTGAATTTTCTTATGTCGAATTAGGTTAGAGTTATGACTGAAGGACTTCCCACATATTGTACACTCATATAGCTTCTCTCCAGTATGAACTGTCTTGTGGTTTTGAAGTAGACTATTGGACCTAAAAGATTTCCCACAATCACTACACTCATATGGCTTTTCTCCAGAATGAATTCTCTGATGTTCAATGAGGCCTGAGTTACGACTGAAGGACTTCCTACAATCTGTACATTCATATGGCTTTTCTCCAGTATGAACTCTCTTGTGATTAAGGAGGTGAGCATTTCGTGTAAAAGATTTTCCACAGTCACTACATACATACGGCTTTTCTCCAGTGTGAATTTTCTTATGTCGAACTAGGTTAGAGCTATTCCTGAAGGACTTCCCACATACTGTACACTCATATAGCTTCTCTCCAGTATGGACTGTCTTATGGTTTTGAAGTAGACTATTGGACATAAAAGATTTCCCACAATGACTACACTCATAGGACTTTTCTCTAGAATGTACTTTCTGATGTCGAATGAGGCTTGATCTATAAGTGAAGGACTTCCCACAATCTGTACATTCATATGGCTTCTCTCCAATGTGAATTTTGTGGTGCCGATTTAAGCCAGATCTTTTACTGAAGGACTTTCCACATTCACTACATTTATAAGGCTTGTCTCCAGTGTAAACTGTGTGGTGGCATCTGAGATTACACCTATTAAAGAAAGCCTTCCCACAATCACCACATTTATATGGCCTTTCTCTAGTATGAACTCTCTTCTGGGTATGAAGTTGACTATGGAACCTAAAAGATTTCCCACAATCATTACACTCATATGGCTTTTCTCCAGAATGAATTCTCTGATACTGAATGAGGCTTGAGTTACAACTGAAGGACTTCCCACAATCTGTACACTCATATGGCTTTTCTCCAGTATGAACTCTCTTGTGATAACGGAGGTGAGTATTTCGTGTAAAAGATTTTCCACAGTCACTACATACATACGGCTTTTCTCCAGTGTGAATTTTCTTATGTTGAATTAGATTAGAGCTACTCCTGAAGGACATCCCACATGCTGTACACTCATATAGCTTCTCTCCAGTATGAACTGTCTTGTGGTTTTGAAGGTAACTATTGAACTTAAAAGATTTCCCACAATCACTACACTCATATGGCTTTTCTCCAGTGTGAATTCTGTAGTGCTTATTTAATATATATCTAGCACGAAAGGACTTCCCACATTCACTACACTCATAAGGCTTCTCTCCAGTATGAACTCTCTTGTGGACATGAAGGTGACTTTTGCACCTAAAAGATTTCCCACAGTCACCACACACAGCTGGGTTTTTGCTAGTGTGAACTCGCTGATTCTTAATGAGGGTAGAGCTAAAAATGAAGGATTTTCCACAATCTGTACACTCATATGGCTTCTCTCCAGTATGAACTCTCTGGTGTGTAACCAAGCTAGTTTTGCAGCTAGAAGATTTCTCACATTCACTGCACTCACACGATTTTTCCTCAGTGTCAATTCTGTGGTATTGAATGAGAATAGAGCTTTGTCTAAAGAACTTCCCACAATCAGTACATTCACAGGGATTTTCTCCAGTGTGAATTTCTCTTTTTTGATTGAGGTTCATGATGCATCGAAAACATTTTCCACATTTGTTACCCTCAAAATTCACTTCTCCAGAGCAGATACTCTGATGCTGAACAACTTTCTGGTTGATGCCGGCTGCTGTTTTACCTTCACCCCAATGACGGTGACATTTTCCACTGAGAAATTCCTGTGTAATCTCACTGCTACCTGGTGGCTCCTCAGTCTTGAGAGTTGCTGGGTGCTGTGGAAGATCTGAGATGGCAGGAAAGACTTTCCCAACCTCCCTACTCATTGAAGACATCCATGCTAAGCGCAAGCTGATCCTGTTCACAAACGAGGTCCTGTCCATAGATTCTTTCCAGGGCTTCTCTCCACCAAAAACCCTCTGTTGCTCATGAGGGTTTGCACTAAAACGGAGAACTCTTACACATGCATCACTGAAGAAGGCTTTCTGCTCAAAGTCTGCTGCTTGTGACTCAGTCAGGTGCAGAATGCCTTTTAACACTGAGAAACACTTCTTACAAAGATGGGTACTCTGATTAGCTAGAGCAGTCACAGAAGACCTGACCTGTAATTGTCCTTGTAGGGATACACTCTCCTTAGAATGTGTCGCCTTATCTTCCATTTTATGCCAGCAACCTAATAACAGAGAATGGTTTAAAAAAAAAAAAAAAAAAAAAGAATATTCACTACGGTATCAGGGGGAAGTTATAATACAAAAGTGTATTCTTGGAGAGAAAGCAAATGGAGGCATAGGTAAATGCCTAATTGTAATCTCACACAACAATTTCAAAAACTACAACTAAAATATAAAGTGGACAGTATCTAAAACTATAGGAAAGTTGACTGACTGGAAATTCTACAACTAGGAAGGAAAGAGAAAACCAGAAGGAAAAATCAGAGGAGCTGTAAAAGCCTAAGGTACGGAGACACGGAGTGCACATGGGGAGAGGATAGAGTCAGAGAGGAGGGGTGGCTGACTGCCTGGCTGGTGTTCCCTAGTGGGAAGGAGATAAAAGCTCTGGACCAGGGGTCCTCAAACTTTTTAAAGTGGGGGCCAGATCACGGTCCCTCAGAGAGCTGGAGGGCCGGACTATATGAACTAGTAATTCCTACTGTAACACCTCGGTTGCGCTCACTGCCCAAAAAACCTGGCGGGCCAGATCAGACTCCTCTGCGGGCCGCATGTGGCCCGCGGGCCGTAGTTTGAAGACCCCTGCTCTGGACTGTGCTGAACCCCAGATCCAATAGCACAGATCCCCAGTTCTGGGCGAGACCCTGGGGTCCCAGGCTCATAAAGAGGAAATCTGGGCTGTAAGGCATAAACTCAGGGGAGCAGTGAAAGGCAGAGCCCCAGAGGCGTGCACGTTAATACTCGCAGAGGAAAGATTGTTGACTGAGCTGCAAGATTGCCCTAGCGGGAAGGAGACAAAAGCTCTGGACGGTGCCGAGTTCCAGTTCCGACTGCCCTGAACCCCAGTTCCAGGCCAGACCCTGGGGACACAGGCGCATATGGAGGGAATCTGGACTGTGGGGCAGAAACTCAGGGGAGTGGTGAAGGGCAGAGCCCTGGAGGCGTGCATGTTGTGCACAGAGGACGAAATGTTGGCTGTGCTGCTGGATTGCCCTGGCGGGCAGTAAACATAAGCTCTGGACTGCTCTTAACCCCACTTCCAACCCCACTTCCAGCTGCACTTAACCCCGGTTCTAGGCTCATTGGAGGAGAGATTGGACTATCCGGTGGAGGGGAGCAAAGGAGGGGGGGGAAAAAAAGAGGAACATTTGTAATAATATGAACAATAAATATTTATTTTATTTTTTCTTTTCTTTTTTTAAAATATATTTTATTGATTTTTTACAGAGAGGAAGAGAGAGTTAGAAACATCGATGAGAGAGAATCATCGATCAGCTGCCTCTTGCACACCCCCTACTGGGGATATGCCCGCAACCAAGGTACATGCCCTTGACCAGAATCGAACCTGGGACCTTTCAGTCCGCAGACCGACGCTCTATCCACTGAGCCAAACCGGTTTCGGCTAAATATTTATTTTAAAAATAAAGTAAGCAAGGGGAAAAAAGTGTATTCTACACACTACACTGTTTCCACGCAATTGTCTCAAAATAGGAGATCTGCAAGAAAGCTTAATAAGAAGTTACTGTAGCAGAAAGCAGTTTGGCTCAAAGGATAGAGAGTTGCCTGTGGACTGAAAGGTCCCGGGTTTGATTCTGGTCAAGGGCATGTACCTTGGTTGCGGGCACATCCCCAGTGGGGGGTATGCTAGAGGCAGCTGGTGGATGATTCTCTCTCATCGATGTTTCTAACTCTCTATCCCTCTCTCTTAATCTCTGTAAAAAATCAAAAAAAAAAAAAAAAAAAAAAAAAGTTATGGACCTCTGAAGCTAACAAACCAGAAGAGACTTCACCAGATATATGGCAAAGAGATGGCAGACATCACATGGAAGAGAAGCAGAATCTCCTGCTCGTTGTTCTGCTAAGAATGTCCACCTGAAATATAGTGGCAACCATACTTTGGTAAAAACTGCTGTTTGAATTTTAACCCTGCTAAGTCTGGCCCCTGCATCTGATTAAAACACAGGGTACTTACCTCAGCTTCCAGGTGAAGACCTGGAGGCTAAGGCAATTTTCCCTTGCCTGGGACCAGGACCACAGGAGATTAATTCCCACTGACTCAGTAGCTTCAGGGATAGAAACTGTAGATAACCTTTAGAGTCTAACTGCTGAGCTCTGCTTCTGTGTCATCGCTATTGCAAGATAGGGCCACATTCCAATGTCCAGCAGGATGTGACTGGGAACCCTGTGGGCTGTCCCCAGTCTTTAGAATTTAGGATTTAGAATTTAGAATAAAGGAAAATTCCTGTGGTTTGAACCTTTAAAAGGGACTGCCTACCCCTGAAATGGGGCAGTCATTTGGAGTCCACCTGCGTGTGGTGCTCTTGTGGCTGTCCTGGCCAGTCAATAAATCCTTGCCTGCTTTCTTTAAATTAATTAATCAGCCTCCGGTGGTCTTATTTTGAATCCAGGGTTCAACCCCACAACACACCTGTGCTTCTCTGCTGGTGACATGGGATGGCTGTGCAGGAGGATAATTATGTCTGTTTCCAAGTTAAATTCATTAAACTAGCATCTGGTGTTGGAGGACTAGTTACGCATATACACGGAATGGCCAGATTATGATGATCACTGAATTCATAATAATCTAGTCATTCAGTGTATTTCTCAAGTACCTTTTTATTTGATATCAAAGATACTGTAAATTGTGCATCTGATCAGTTTTTCCCATTGAACTGGCTGATAGAAAGCTCAGGGCACACGGGTGGTTGATCTCCAGCAAAAGTCTAGAATACTTTTGGTGCCCATTTGAGATACAAATCCACTGAGTGGCCAGATTATGCATTCAGAGATCATAATAACCTGGCCACTCAGTGTGTTTGCCCCTCACAACACAAGTGCAGGACAGTGTTTGTGAACACTGCACAGACCGCAGTGCAGGGGAACAGGTGATGTAAAAAGGTAACAATAGGTGAAGGTAGCCAACAGTCTGGTGAAATGACAAGTCAGCAAACTGTCAAGTATGAGAAAGAAAAGGTAGAAATGAATAGTGGCCAGTGGCACCTGCACCTAAACAGTGTTGCCAGGAGCAGACTCGTGGTATGATTTGAGCACAGCACTGGTACCATACCGTCCCCCAGTTGCCACTCAGAAGTGCCCAGCCTTCTCTGAGTCCATTGTGCATATTCATCAGGAGAAAACACCATGTTCTCATTATACCTTCCATCATACAAATACCTAGGACTTAAATTTTCTTTTAAAAAAAATGTTTTATTGATATTTTTACAAAGAGGAATTGAGAGGGATAGAGTTGGAAACATCGATGAGAAAGAAACAACCATCAGCTCGCTCATGCACACCTACAACCGGGGATGTGCCTGCAACCAAGGTATGTACCTTTAACCGGAATCGAACTTGGGACCTTTCAGTTTGCAGGCCTACACTCTATCCACTAAGCCAAACTGGTTTTGGCTGGAACCTAAATTTTCTGAGTATTAATGAGGTAAGCAGCAAGCCCTGGCCGAGAGCATCATGGCATGCAATAGTATTCGGCGAAAGAATATTACAGATAATAATTGACAAACGGCATCATTAGAATGTTCATGGTTCATGTAAGTAAAGACCAAAACCTGGCTCAGTCAGTCACGAAGGACCGTAAGCTCGAGGGAATGGACAAAAGTGAAAGCCATGAATGTGGACATAGTAAACTTCCCAGGAAAAGGAAGAGCAAGGTGAACCTATTGATCTGTCTGTAGAATTCCTGATTCCCAGACACTTTCTGCACTTTGGGAGACGACGGGTTCTAGGGATGCTCCTGGAGACTCTCCACACACCTCAGCACTGGCAGCCACAGCTTGGCTGACAATAAAGTTGGGGGAAGTAGCAGAGTCTGTGGACTGGCTACATGGGAGAGAGAGCAACAGGTGGAGAATACAGGAAGAGAGGATGTCACCTCAGGACACGAAGGAGAGATGTGAAGGGCTTACCGACAGATGAGACCAGTGCAAACACTTCCATCATCACATCGCAGTACAGGAGTCTCTGAGCCTCATCCAGGAGCTCCCACTCCTCCAGAGAGAAGACAATGGCCACGTCCGCAAAGTTCATGTTCTGGCATATTGGAGACAATTCAGTCCATGGTCAGCTTATCTCTAGGAGTTCACAGTCATCATCCTCCCAATTTAGTGCACCCCTCTACTCCCAACATCTGAAAATATACCAGGTCTTCCAAGTCAGTCTCTCCTTGTATTCCTGCAATTCTGTGCTTTCCCACAACAATAAGGCAGGTAAGCTGATTGATGATACCTGTGCTCTGGGCCTCACATTGGGTCTGGTCAGTAAGTGCTTGTCAGGGACATAGGGAGGGAGAGTTGCGGCCATAAAGAGCGTGTGAGTGGTTTGACACTGGTCTTATCAGGCATCCCCCTGGCAGTGCCCTATACTGTCCCTCTAAGACACAAAAAAACATGGCATCACACTTTACTCTTCCAATCTCAATTCAGGGTGCTGAGGCCATCACTTTCTACTACCTGCTCCATATAATTCTTTTTATTTATTTATAATTAAATATATTTTATTGATTTTGTACAGAGAGGAAGGGAGAGAGATAGAGAGTTAGAGTCAGGAGTTCGCCTCGCCCTGCCCTGCTCCCTCAGCCTCTGCAGGGCCTGTGGGAGGTGCTGAGGGCCTGGCTCCACCCCAGGACCCGGGGCTCAGGCCGCTCGAGCCCTGGCCCAGCCCCGGGGCCGGGGGCCCCTTGCATTCCATCCGGGCTTTCACAGGACTTCTCCTTCCTCCCCCTGACGGCCGTCCTCCCTCCGTCTGTCCTTCCTCCGGGCAGGTCTGAGGAGCCGTCCGAACCCGGCCACGCCGCCCTCTGCGGCTCAGGCCCCGGTGGCAGCGGCTTCCTGGACACGGAGGGACCCTCCTCCCCGGAGCGCGGACTCCTCCTCCTGCTGCCTTTACACACGGAACAGACGGGCCCCCAGACCCGCCTCCGCGGTCACCCCGCCCGGCCTCACACGGCGGCCCTGGGCCCGTCGCCCTCTCCGCCGGTCACACCACGTGGCCCGCCCACAGCTCACTGCTCCGGCGGCGCCGAGGCCGGAGGGTGCGGGAGGGGGGCCCGGTGGGCTCCGGAAGCAGAACGCGGTCTGGGGGGCGCGGAGGACGCAATCCCGGCCTTTGGGACTCACCCCGCCCCGCCAGCACGCGGCCTTCACCGCCTCCTCAGCCTGAGCCGTGAGTCCCCCCAGCCACAGAATTCAAAATGGCTGCCCAGGAGGGGCTGCCGGAAGTCCCGCCCTAACCGGATGTGTAGGTCCCAAAATGCTCCTGACGTCCTGGGGCGCTGGCGCAGTGCTTTCTGGGTAATGTAGTTTTTTCTATCCCAGAGGCTGGGCATCCCAGCCAATGGCCTTGGAGAGTAAAGGTGTGGAGGCCCCACAAGTGGTGCTGGAGGGGGAGATGGGACTGGAGGTCTGCTCACCTGGTCCACAGGGACAGATCTCTCAGGGGAGAGGCGAGGGGAGGCCTGGAATAGATCCACCGAAGATTATACATACAAGGAGAAAGAGGAGACATCTGTAATAATAACAATAAAAAATACATATTATTATTATTATTTTTAGTCCTAACTGGTTTGGCTCAGTAGATAGAGTATCAGCCTGTGGACTGGTAGGTCGCAGGTTTGATTCTGGTCAAGAACATGTACCTTGGTTGCAAACATATCCCCAATAGGAGGTGTGTAAGAGGCAGCTGATCAATGTTTCTAACTCTCTATGCCTCTCCCTTCCTCTCTGTAAAAAAAAAAAAAAAAAAAAAAAAGAATAAAATATATATATTTAAAAATTTTAAATACTATAGCCCAGCTGGTGTTGTTCAGTGGTTGAGCCTCGACATATGAACCAGGTGGTCATGGATCGATTCATGGTCAGGGCACTTACATGGGTTACAGGCTCAATTCCCAGGGAGAGGAGAGGTACAGGAAGCAGCCTATCAGGGATTCTCTCTCATCAGTGATGCTTCTGAGAGGATATAGAGGCCAACAGGTTGACATTTCCTACATTATCTGAATGTCTGCAGTCAGCACACATTATGAAGCTATAGAGCTAACAGTCACTGAATGTCACTACATGTGCCGGGCCCTAGATTCAATGCTTTATATGCATTATTTTTTATTTTTAAAAATATATTTTATTGATTTTGTACAGAGAGGAAGGGAGAGAGATAATTAGAAACATCGATGAGAGAGAGTCATCGGCCAGCTGCCTCTTGCACACCCCCTAGTGGGGATATGCCCGCAACCAAGGTACATGCCCTTGACCAGAATCAAACACGGGACCTTTCAGTCCCCAAGCCAATACTCTATCCATTGAGCCAAACTGGTTTTGGCCATTTTAGAGAAGTTTTTATTCTGAACTGCTCCTCAGAGTTCCAGATGCTCATGAACTGCTCCCTGAAATGTCGGAAACCCTAACAGGTAAAATATAAAAGTTTTGGTAACCCCACTGAACATTAGAGTTCCTACTGTGAACATCTGCATCTCAGCTGACTCGGTCCTTACATACCTCCCACTTCCAAATGCAAACGTTCACATCATCCCTCATTCTTACCACTCTCTCTACATCCCAATTAGGTAATCCAGGTGGCCACACCTAAGACACTAATCCGGAATTCAACTGTTTATTTCAGCTCCACAACCACCACCAGGGGCCTCTTACCAGCAAATCCATCAAGACTATCAGAGAAGCTCCCATCCTAGTCTTTCTACCGCTCCCATCCCACCTATAGTTCATCATGCTGCAGCCACAGGGGGTCTAATGAGACCTGGATTAGGTCCTGCCTGCCTCCATTGCTCCAAATCTCCCAACACCTATAGAACAGATTCCCAAGTTGTCACAGAGCTGCTCAATGGAGGCCTGATTCCTCTCCTTTTGTTACCATTTCCTAATTAAAAGAAGAAGAAAAAAAGGACACCAGAGGGTTTCTGAATGACCTCTGTCTTCACTCACAGCCTTCGCACACACAGCACCCGGTGCCTGGAAAATCCTCTCATATCCCATTTCACTGGTTGCCAAAAACAGGGACCAGTCATAGGACCCTAGTCCTGGGCTTAGAATTCTGGGCTTGGCGTCTCATCAAGGTCCCCAGATCCTAGGGATGGAAGAGTGGCCGTACGATACCAGGACCCCATTACCTCAGAGGCCACAAGACTGGGAGGCCCTGAAATAAGCTCTACCCCCCAGTGCCCTAAGCGGCTCTACAGCTGCAGGAACCTGGGGGAACTAAAGGTCTGTTGAGAGCCTGGAAACCACCACCAGGACCCACAGTCTCAGGCTGCTCAGGGGCCTTGCCCAGCTCCGGAGCCTAGTGATGCCTGCATCCCTCAGGCTCAGGCCTCAGTGCACACCCTACCAGTTACCTTATCATTTACAGACTTCTCCATCCTGTCCCTAACTGCTATCTTCTCTCTTCTAGTATGCTCTTCCTCTGAGAAATTTTGAGACAAGTTAGAAACCTAACTCCCACCATGCCCCTCTTTGGATCACAGCCATTAATGGCAGCAGCTTCCTGAAAATGAGGTAAAATTCCTCCCACAAAACTTTGCTTCATCTTTTTTGTTGCAATTAAGAATAAAACAAACCAAGGTTTCCCCAATCCTCCCTCCTCAGTCACACCACTTCGGTCTTACACCGTGGCTTTTCAGCCTGTCAACTTCTCCCACCCAGTCACACCATGTGGCACCCTCAAGCAACTCACTGTTCTGGTGCTGAGATCTGGGCTGCAGGATGGACAGGCACCCACACCCGAGGCTGGAGGGTGAATGAGGTGAGGGCCAATTGGACTCTGGAAGGAGAATGTAGTTTGGTAGGCACCGAGGACTCAACCCTGGCCTGTTGTGTATCAACCCGCCTCAGACACAACCTGCACAGCGGGCACTCTGCCTCTGAGGCCTCGTGACCCAGCACTGGAGCCTCTGATTCTGTGAGCACACTGCAAAGGTCAAATTCACCACCAGGAGAAAGACCCTGGAAGTCAAGCTCCAACCAATTATCCAACAAGGATAATGCCCCTCTCCTGGGCTTTCATTGGCTAAACCCAGCCTTCCTTAGCGCTTGGCCCTTTGGGTAATGTAGCAATCCAGCCTCTCATGGGGCACTAGGATCCCAGTCACTCACTGCCCATTGAGAATATTGTTCTGTGGCGTTCCAGTGACCCTGGGAACTGACGACTTTATGTTTTAGGGCTGGCCACAGGTTTCTGGGGAGTGTTGTCTACAAAACAACTCTTGTTTGGAAACATTTCAGATTCCGGGACACTTAGAATAATGCTCCCTCAGGTGAAAAGTGTTATTACAATGACTTGTGAAGACTACAAATCTAAATGAATAACTATAAGTAAAGACATGTTGATTGACTTTCATAGAGAGAAGGAGAGAATGGCTGCCTCCTACATGGCCCCCTAATGGGATGCAGCCCATTACCACAGCAGGTGCCCTCAAATAAGAACTGAACCAGCAATCTTTCTGTGCATGGGACTACGCTCAACAAACTGAGCCACTCCATACTGGCTTTTTTTTTTAAACATCATAACTTGACATTATTAAGAGAAAAAGCAGGCTATGAGAGGATATATGCAATCCTATCCCATTGGTTTAAAAAGAAAATTTGAAAGAATACATAGATCAACACACTGACAGCTCCTACATTGTCTCTGTCTGTGGCCGGTACAAATTGTGACCTTCAGGAGCTAACAGTTACTGAATATTTACTACAGGTGCCAGGTCCCGGATTCAATGCTTTATCTACATTATTTCACTTAACCCTCTCCTCAGCCTGAGGTGGTTGAACCATCTATTTATTTTTTAATATATATTTTATTGATTTCTTACAGAGAGAGAGAGGGATAGTTAGAAACATCGATGACAGAGAATCATCTATCAGCTGCCTTTTGCACGCCCCCTACTGGGGATGTGCCCGCAACCCAGGTACATGCCCTTGACGGGAATTGAACCCGGGACCTTTCGGTCTGCAGACCGACGCTCTATCCATTGAGCCAAATCGTTTTCAGCTGAACCATCTATTTTATTTTTATTATTATTTTTTTTTAAATATATTTTATTGATTTTGTACAGAGAAGAAGGGAGAGAGATAGAGAGCTAGAAACATCGATGAGAGAGAGTCATCGATCAGCTGCCTCTTGCACACCCCCTACCGGGGATATGCCCGCAACCAAGGTACATGCCCCTTGACCGGAATCGAACCCGGGACCTCTCAGTCCCCAAGCCGACGCTCTATCCATTGAGCCAAACCGGTTTCGGCTGAACCATCTATTTTAATGGGGAGGAAATCCAGGCTCAGAGAGTCAATATAAATTGACTGATTGTAGAGTTAATAAAGGCAGGGCTGGAAGTCAAACCCAGGTGTCTCTAACAAAGCTCTAGCTTCTAATGTTAGGCTCTGCTGCCTCCTAGAGGGTGGAATAGGGGATGCATTCCCATTAGGACAGGCTAGATGTTACTGTGGGCACTGAGCAGCCTCAAAGCTTCAGTGGCTTAGAGGAAAGAAGTGAACTTTCTTGTTCATAGCCCACGAACACCCTGGTTCTCCTGGGACCAGGATAAAGGAACAGCCAACATGTAGCTTCCTGCTGGGTGTTATCAGAGAGGGACAGAGAGGGCTGCGGTCTCACTGGTTCGAGACTCTTCTATTAGGGGTGACAGGCTTGGCTGGCACCTCATTTAATTGGTCAAAGCATATCACTGGAGGCAGCCAACATCAGGGTGTCAGTAGCAGAACCTGACCTACATGATGGGCCCTAGTAAGGCGACCCCATGGTACCAGCCTCATTTGGGGGACTGTGCAGAGGCAACACAGAGGAGTGAGGATTAGTAGGAAATGACCGAAAGTCAGTCAGGATGCTTTGCTTCCTCCTCCTCCACCTAGACTTTGTCCTGGAGCTGCCCAAAACCCAAGATTCATTGGAATAAACATAATTTAAAAAAAAGAAAAGAAAAAGAACGCTGAAGCTTATGAGTCTGTGAACCAACTGAAGAGTTCAAAATGACAGTTGGGAGGATGGATGGATCTGGCAGTCCCGCCCAAAGGGGATGTGCAGGCACCAGAATCCTCACTGCCTGTTCTAACACAGCCGTTGTGCTTTCTGGGTAATGCAGTTTTTCCAATGCCAGAGGACAGCTCTCAACCCAGAGGATGACCTTGTTGACTAAGGTGTTGAGGCCCCACAAGTGGGACTGGAGGAGATGGGCCTGGAGATTTGCTTAACTGGTCGATATTGACAGATTTCTGAGGGGAGGGGGAAGGGAGTTCTTCCACCAAAGAATATATATAAGGTGGGAGAGGAGGACATCTACAAAACTATCAACAATAAAAAGTCCAGCCTTAGCCGAAACCGGTTTGGCTCAGTGGATGGAGTCCACTCAAGGGTCCCAGGTTCAATTCCGGTCAAGGGCATGTGCATTGGTTGTGGGCACATTCCCGGTAGGGGGTGTGCAGGAGGCTGCTGGTCGATGTATTTCTCTCATCGATGTTTCTAGCTCTCTATCCCTCTCCCTCTCTGTGAAAAATCAATAAAATATATTAAAAAAAAAAAAAAAAAAAAAAAAAAGTCCAGCCCTGACCAGTTTGGCTCAGTGGATAAAGTGTCAGTGTGCAGACTGAAGGGTCCCAGGTTCAATTCCGGTCACGGGTCTGTACCTTAGTTCCAGGCACATCCCCAGTGGGAGGTATGCAGGAAGCAGCTGATCGATGTTTCTCTCTCATAAATGTTTCCGATTCTTTCTCTCTCTTCCTCTCTGTAAAAAAATCAATAATATTGAAAAGAATAAAAAATACAAATATTTTTTATTCTTTTCAATATATTTTATTGATTTTTTTAGAGAGGGAGAGGGATAGAGAGCTAGAAACATCGATGAGAAACATCCACCAGCTGTCTCCTGCACACCCTCTATTGGAAATATGCCTGCAACCAAGGTACACGCTCTTGACTGGAATCGAACCTGGGACCTTTCAGTCTGCAGGCCGAAGCTCTATCCACTGAGCCAATCCGGTTTCGTCCTATAAATTAAAAATGTTTACAATACTATAGCCCAACTGGTGTGGTTCAGTGGTTGACCACAGACTTCTGAACCAAGAGGTCATGGTTCTATTCATGGTCAGGGCACATACATGGGTTGCAGGCTCAATTCCCAGGGAAAGGGAGGTCCAGGAAGCAGCCTGCCAGTGATTCTCTGTCATCATTGATGTTTCTATCTCCCTCTCCCTTCCTCTCTTTACTCAATATTTTTGAATGTAGTTTTAAGTCAGTTGTACTTAAATCAAAGTTTTAAATGTTTAAAACTTGCCCCCTTTCAATTGTTGTCCAATTTTATTATGAACACATTTGTTCCTACTCTACCGGTATGTTGGAAAAACATCATGACGAGCTACTGAAGTATCTTATCATGCCCCTGTTCAGTGCCGTCATTTTGGTATTTGGAAGCTGACAATGGTGAGAGTATTTACAAAAAAAACAACTGAGAAATACTACAAACCATGACTTCACTTATACTACTGAGTGCTTACTGGTAAACTTAGAAAAAAAAAAAAAAAGGAAAAGCACGCTAGCAATGCAGATTTACTTGTCATTGTATGGTACAAGTGGAATTTAAATTGCCTTCAGGATTCAATTTGTGAAAAACATGCCCAACCAGTATGGTTTAGCAATTGAGCATCGAATCAGGAACCAAGAGGATGTTGGTTTGAATCCCTGTCAAAGCACATGCCTGGATTACAAGTTCCATCTGTAGTGTGGGTCATGCAGGAGGCACCAATGGATGGTGTTCTCTCTGTTCCATCTTACTCTCTCTCTAACAATCTCCCTTCCTCTCTCTAAAAGCCATAACATTTTATTTTAAAATAAATAAATGTGTGGGAAACAATGCTGCTTACAATTTTCAAAACCTATGGTTTTTTTCATATGACAAAGAAGTCATGGAGTCATTGAGAAAAGAAAGAAATTCAAACATACATCTTAAATCACATGTGTCAAACACAAGGCCCGCGGGCCAAATCCGTCCCGCCAGGCCTTGCAATGTGGCCCGCACCGCGCTGTCATCACTGCACGCTGCGTTTCCATCACAATGACAGTTTATGACTGTTCAGTAAACCATTCGGCCCGCGATTTAGGCTGGATTTTAGATTTTAGCCCCTTCGCTGATTGAGTTCGACACCCCTATCTTAGATGATACACAAGACTCCTTTAGATTAAAATGACTTTAAACAATTTAAAAAAGAGTCTGAGCTGACATTTTAACAAAAGACATCAAGACAGTGTAAATCAATGCCTGAGAAAAACACTCACCATAAAAATTTCTTAGCTAAATTAAACCTAAAGGATTTCCAGCAATCACTACAATCAAAGGGCTTTTCTTCAGAATGAACTCTTTGATGTTCAATCAGTCTTGAGGTACGACTGAAGGACTTCTCACAATCTATCTGTACAGTCATATGGGTTTTCTCCAGAATGAACCCCGTGATGTTGAATGAGGTTGAGCGACCACAGAAGCACTTCCCACAATCTGTATACTCATATGGTTTCTCTCAAGTATGAATTCTCTTATGGTTAAGGAGGTGAGAATTTTGCCTAAAGGAATTTCCAGTCACTACATTCATATGGCTTTTCTCCAGTGTGAATTTTGTGGTGCGTATTTAAGCCAGATCTTTCACTGAAGGACTTACCACATTCACTACACTTATAAGGCTCGTCTCCAGTGTGAACTCTGTGGTGGTAAGTCAGGTTAGAGCTATTAATGAAAGCCACCTCAGAATCACAACACTTATATGGCCTTTCTCCAGTATGAACTCTTGTGGATATTAAGGTGACTATTGAAAGTAAAAGATTTCTCACAATCACTACACTCACATGGCTTTTCTCCAGAATGAACTCTCTGATGTTGAATGAGGCTTGAAATACGACTGAAGGACTTCCTACAATCTGTACAATCATGACTTCTCTCTAGTATGAACTTTCTTGTGCCTAAGGAGGTGAGCATTCCGCCTAAAGGAATTTCCACAGTCACTACATACATACAGCTTTTCTCCAGTGTGAATTTTCTTATGTCGAATTAGGTTAGAGCTACTCCTGAAGGACATCCCACATGCTGTACACTCATATAGCTTCTCTCCAGTATGAACTCTCTTGTGGTTTTGAAGTTGACTTTTGCACCTAAAAGATTTCCCACAGTCACCACACACAGCTGGGTTTTCTCTAGTGTGAACTCGCTGATGCTTAATGAGAGTAGAGCTAAAAATGAAGGATTTTCCACAATCTGTACACTCATATGGCTTTTCTCCAGTGTGAACTCTCTTGTGCATATGAAGGTGAGTATTGGTCCTAAAATATTTCCCACAATCGCTACACTCATATGGCTTTTCTCCAGTGTGAATTCTGTGGTGATTATTTAAGCTAGATCTTTCTCTAAAGGACTTCCCACATTCACTACACTCAAAAGGCTTGTCTCCAGTGTGAGCTCTTTGGTGGCGAATGAGGGTAGAGCTCATACTGAAGGACTTTCCACAATCACTACACTCATAAGGCTTCTCTCCAGTATGAACTCTCTTATGGATACGAAGGTGAGTATTGGACCTAAAAGATTTCCCACAATCACTACACTTATATGGTTTTTCTCCAGTATGAATTCTGTGGTGCACATTTAAACAAGATCTTTCACTAAAGGACTTCCCACATTCACTACACTCATAAGGCTTTTCTCCAGAATGAACTCTCTGATGTTGAATGAGACTTGAGCTATGACTGAAGGCCTTCCCATAATCTGTACACTCATAATGCTTCTCGCCAGTATGAACGCTCTGGTGTGTAAGCAAGCTAGTTTTGCAGCTAGATATCTCACATTCACTGTATTCACACGATTTTTCTTCAGTGTCACCTCTGTGGTGTTGAATGAGGATAGAGCTTTGTCTAAAGAACTTTCCACAATTAGTACATTCATAGGGATTTTCTCCAGTGTGAATTTCCCTTTTTTGATTGAGGTTCATGGTACATCTAAAACATTTTCCACATTTGTTACCCTCAAAATTCACTTCTCCAGAGCAGATACTCTGATGCTGAACAACTTTCTGGTTGCTGCCGGCTGCTGTTTCACGTTCACCCCAATGATGGTGACATTTTCCACTGAGAAATTCCTGTGCAATCTCACTGCTCCTGGGTGGCTCCTCAGTCTTGAGAGTTTCTGGGATCTGTGGAAGATCTGAGATGGCAGGAAAGACTTTCCCTACCTCCCTACTTATTGAAGGCACCCATGTTAAGTGCAAGCTGAACCTGTTCACAAACGAGGGCCTGTCCATAGCTTCTTTCCAGAACTTCTCTCCACCGAAAACCCTCTGTTGCTCATGAGGGAATGCACTGAAACAGAAGCCTCTCACACATGCATCACTGAAGAAGGCTTTCTGCTCAAAGTCTGCTGCTTGTGACTCAGTCATGTGCAGAATGTCTTTCAACACTGAGAAACACTTCTTACAGAGATGGGTCGTCTGAGTAGCTGGAGCTGTCTCAGAAGAATACTCTTCTTGTAGAGATACACTCTGCTCAGAATGTGTTGCCTTATCTTCCATTTTATGCCAACAACCTAAAAACAGAGAATGGTTAAAAAAAAAAAAAGATATTCACTATGGTATCAGGGGGAAGTTATAATACAAAAGTGTATTCCACATACTACACTTTTTCCATGCAATTGTCTCAAAATAGGAGATCTGCAGGAAAGCTTAATAAGAGGTCGCTGTAAAATTATGGGCTTCTGAAGCTAACAAACTAGAAAAGACTTCACCAGAAATATGACAAAAAGATGGCAGACTTCACATGGAAGAGAAGCAGAATCTCCTGCTCGTTGTTCTGCTAAGAGTGTCCACCTGTGCTTCTCTGCTGGTGCCATGGGATGGCTGTGCAGGAGGATAATTATGTTTGTTTCCAAGTTAAATTAGAAACTAGCATCTGATGTTAGTGGACTACTTACGCATACACACTAAATGGCGAGATTATTATCTCTGAATTCATAATAACTGGCCACTCAGTGTACTTCTCTAAATTTATTTGATATCAAAGATACTGTAAATTGTGCACTTGATCAGTTTTCCCATTTTCACTGGTTTGATAGAAAGCTCAGGGCAAATAGGTGGTTCATCTCCAGCAAAAGTCTAGAATACTTTTGGTACCCATTTGAGATACAAATCCACTGAGTGGCCAGATTATGCATTCAGAGATCATAATAACCTGGCCACTCAGTGTGTTTGCCCCTCACAACACAAGTGCAGGACAGTGTTTGTGAACACTGCACAGACAGCAGTGTAGAGGAACAGGTGATGTAAAAAGCCACAAAAGGGGAACGTAGCCAACAGTCTGATGAAATGATAGGTCAGCAAACTGTCAAGTATGAGAAACAAAAGGTAGAAATGAGTTTTAGTCAATGGCACCTAAACCTACACCTAAACAGTGTTGCCAGGAGAGACTTGAGGTATGATCTGAGCACAGCACTGGTACCATACCTTCCCCCAGTTGCCACTCAGAAGTGCCCAGCCTTCTCTGAGTCCATTGTGCATATTCATCAGGAGAACACACCATGTTCTCATTGTACCTTCTATCATACAAATACCTAGGACCTAAATTTTCTTTTTAAAAAAATATATTTTATTGATTTTTTTACAAAGAGGAATTGAGAGGGATAGAGAGTTGGAAACATCGATGAGAGAAAAACATCTATCAGCTCGCTCATGCACACCTCCAACCGGGGATGTGCCTGCAACCAAGGTATGTGCCCTTGATCGAAATCGAACCTGGGACCTTTCAGTCCACAGGCCTACGCACCATCCTCTAAGCCAAACTGGTTTTGGCAGGAACCTAAATTTTCTGAGTATTAATGAAGGACAACAGAGGTGAACAGCAAGCCCTGGCCCAGAGCACCTTGGCATGCAATAGTATTCGATGAAAGAATATTACAGATAATAACTGACGGAGGGCCTCAGAATAACTGTTCATGGTTCCTGTAATTAAAGACCAAAACCTGGCTCAGACAGTCACCAAGGACCGTAAGCTCGAGGGAATGGACAAAAGTGAAAGCCATGAATGTGGACATAGTAAACTTCCCAGGAAAAGGAAGAGCAAGGTGAACCTATTGATCTGTCTGTAGAATTCCTGATTCCCAGACACTTTCTGCACTTTGGGAGACGACGGGTTCTAGGGATGCTCCTGGAGACTCTCCACACACCTCAGCACTGGCAGCCACAGCTTGGCTGACAATAAAGTTGGGGGAAGTAGCAGAGTCTGTGGACTGGCTACATGGGAGAGAGAGCAACAGGTGGAGAATACAGGAAGAGAGGATGTCACCTCAGGGCATGAGGAGAGATGTAAAGGACTTACCGACAGATGAGACCAGTGCAAACACTTCCAGCATCACATCACAGTACAGAAGTCTCTGAGCCTCATCCAGGAGCTTCCACTCCTCCAGAGAGAAGGCAATGGCCACGTCCGCAAAGTTCATGTTCTGGCATATTGGAGACAATTCAGTCCATGGTCAGCTTATCTCCTAGGAGTTCACAGTCATCATCCTCCCAATTTAGTGCACCCCTCTACTCCCAACATCTGAAAATATACCAGGTCTTCCAAGTCAGTCTCTCCTTGTATTCCTGCAATTCTGTGCTTTCCCACAACAATAAGGCAGGTAAGCTGATTGATGATACCTGTGCTCTGGGCCTCACATTGGGAGTGGTCAATAAGTGCTTATCAGGAACATAGGGAGGGAGAGTTGTGGGCCATAAAGAGAGTGTGAGTGATTTGACACTGGTCTTACCAGGCATCCCCCTGGCAGTGCCTTGGACTGTCCCTCTAAGACACCAAAGAACATGGCATCACACTTTAGCCTTCCAATCTCAATCCAGGGTGCTGAGGCCATCACTTTTCACTACCTGCTCCATATAATTCTTTGAAGCACACTTTCTCTCACTTATCTTCATTCCCAGAGGCACAACTCCAGAGATAACACAAATATGTCATGATGCGGATCAGTTGTTTCCGAGTCAGCATCTTTGCCAAATTCAAATTCACCATCTCTGTAATGTGTATCTCCCTTTTCCTTTCCCATGGCTATGGAGATTTTCAAGTCCAGGTGACCCTGAAACAAGCTATCTCTTTCCAATGGATCCCTGTATCAGCCCTCAACACCAACAGGTAAGTGTTTACATACATGGCATTTAAGATTTGGACCTAGCATGTAGCATGATAACATCCCCTCCTTCAATAGAAACCCTAAAATTCCCCCATAGGATATCATAGAGACACCACCAGAAAGGGGATTACCCTTCATTCACTTGTATGTAGGTCTCAGTATGCTGTAGCCATGAATTCACACTCACTCTCCAAGGGCAGTCACTCTTTCTACCACATTTCTCTCACACCTGCACCCCCAGCACCACAGCCCTCAGAGCCATCTCCTTGGCTTCCTACCCTTTACTCAGAGTGTGGTGCAGAGAATGCTTGGCAAATTCCAACTGAATGAAATACTAACCCGACACTGACAGCCCACACTGAAGACAGAGCCTTGAGTCCTGAGAGGAAGGCTTCCCTCCGATTTGTTCCTTCCACCTTACCTAGTGAGAACTCATCCGATCTTAGATATCCAGAGCGCACCTTCACTGCTGCTGCACTGGATGTCCCCTCACGAGTCACGGCCTCCATCATTCAAGTGCCATCACCCATGACCCTCTTTGCCACACCCATGGAGTCTCACAGATGACCCCTCATGCCCCTAAGGAAGTACACCCGTCTGAGTGAAACATCCTTGGCAAGTGGTCAGCACACTCATTAGTCAACAGACCCAAATATCAATAATATAATGATTGAAATTTCTTTTGAGAGTCAATTTTATTCTTTTTTTTTGAACTGATTTTTTACAGAAAGTTAGAAACATCGATGAGAGATAAACATCAATCAGCTGTCTCCTGCACACCCCCTACGGTGAATGTGCCCACAAACAAGGTACATGCCCTTGACTGGAATCGAACCTGGGACCCTTCAGTCCACAAGCCGATGCTCTATCCACTGAGCCATACAGGTTAGGGCTAAATCACCTTTTGATTTTGTAACTGGACACAAGGAAGAGTAATTCAAACAGAGTAAGACTGGAGGTGGTGTATATTTACTTTTTAAACACTCAGTGGATAAAGTGTCGGCTTAGGGACCTGCAAACTGAAAGATCCCATGTTCTATCCTGGTCAAGGGCACTTAATTGGGTTGCAGGCACATCCCCAGTGCAAGTAGTGCTGGAGGCAGCTGATCGATGTTTCTCTCTCATATAGGTTTCTAATTCTCTATCCCTCTTCCTTCCTCTCTGTAAAAAATCAATAAAATATATATTTTTAATAAAGAAGAAGCCCACTTTAAAAATAATAAAAAGGTGATCTACAACTCCTCCCTGGTGCATATACTCTGCTACTAGCATTTAACAAAGTCTTCATTCTGAACTGTTAATCAGAGTACCACACTGTCATGAGTTGCTCTATGAAATATCTCAAACCTGCCGAGACCAGTTTGGCTCAGTGGATAGAGCGTTGGCCTGAGAATTGAAAGGTCCCAGGTTCGATTCCGGTCAAGGGCATGTACCTTGGTTGCGGGCACTTTCCCAGTAGGGGGTGTGCAAGAGGCAGCTGATTGATGATTCTCTCTCATCGATATTTCTAACTATCTCTCTCCCTTTTTAAAAATTATTTAAAAAAAAAGAAAAAAAAAAAGAAAAAAAAAGAAAAAGAAAAATCTCAAACCTAACAGACCTAAAATAAAAGATTTTTCATCCCCAAATGAACATTGCTTTCTAATATGAATTTCTCCATCTCAGTTGTTGGTGCTTCCATAGGTCCAATTGTGAAACCCAAACCTTCACATCATCTTTAACTGTTACCTCTGCCTCTCCTAACTTCAAAATTAGAAAATCCTCGTGGACCAGCTTTAAACACAGAACCGGAATCCGACTGCTTGTAGCACCTCCACGCCATCATCATGAGCCAGATAACCTCACACTCCTCAGCCCTATCACAGCAGTTCCCTTCCCATCCTCTTACACCATCCCTCACACCCATATTGTCCATCAAGTTACAGCAACAGGGAGTCTAATGAGATCTGGGTTAGGTCACCTGCCTCCACTGCTCCAAATCTCCCATTGCTCCCACCACCTGCAGAGAACTCATCGGAGCTGTCACAAACCTCCTCTAGGCCAGACTCCTGTCCCAGAGTCACCATCTTCTATTTAAAAGAATAAAGTAGCCTTGGCTAATTTGGCTGACAGAATGAAGCTTTGGACTGAAGACTGGAGGGGGGGAAAGGGGTGTGTCCCAGGGTTCAATTCCATTCAAAGGCAATTTCCCAGGTTGTGCGCTATCCCGAGTGGGAGGGTTGTGAGAGATGGCAGATCGATAGTTCTCTCTTTCTCTCTCACCCCTCCTCTCTCTCCTTCCCTCCTTCCCTTCCTCGATAATATCAATAAAAATGTATTTAAAAAACAAAAAATACCCGTCCAGCATGGCTCAGGGGTTGTTGACCTATGAACCAGGAGGTTAGGGTTCGATATCCGGGCAGGGCACATGCTCGGGTTACAGGCTTGGTCCCCAGTGGAGGCAGTCGATCCTTGATTCTCTCTTCCTCTCCCTTCCTCTCTGAAATTAATTAAAAAATGTATTTTAAAAACCTGTTCATTTAAATATAAATAAGTAAAAATAAAAAATAAAAAATAAAGCATACCTGCTGATTCCTAAACACCTGTCTTCACTTCAGCCTTTGCACATTCTGGGACCTATGACTGGGAGGACCTCTAACATCTCAATGCACTGATCGAGAATAACAGGGACACTCACGTGACTTAGACCTGAACTGAGGATACTGGGCTTAGTGTCTTAAGGCCAAGGAACGAGAGAGTTGTAGAACAGTCCCAGAACCCCACCATCTCAGAAGTCATAAGAGTGTGAGACCCTGCTGAAACCAGTTTGGCTCAGTGGATAGAGTGTCAGACTGCGGACTGAAAGGTCGTGGGTTCGATTCCGGTCAAAGGCATGTACCTGGGTTGTGGGCACATCCCCAGTAGGTGTGCAAGAGGCAGCTGATCGATGATTCTCCCTCACTGATGTTCCTAACTCTCTATCCCTCTCCTTTCCTCTCTGTAAAAAAATCAATAAAATATATTTTTTAAAAAGTATGGCAATCACCGCCAGGATCCATGGGCTCAGGCTGCTCAGTACCCTTGCCCAGCCAATGCGGCCACATGATCTAGAGATGCATGTATTGCCTCAAGATTCAGTCCTCAGTGCACACACTTCTCTCGTTGTGTCCTTACCTTAGCTTTTACAGGACTTCTCCTTCCTGTCCCTAAATGCTGTCCTCTCTCTTCCAGATTGTTCTACTTCTCACATTTTTTTGGGAAAAGTTCAGAACCCTATCTCAGACAATGCCTCTCTTTTGTTCATGACCATCCATCGCCCCAGTTACCTGAGAATCAACATAAGAAACCTCACACAAAACTTTGCCTCATCTTCTTCATTGCCTTTAGACACAAAACAAATCCTCCCTGCTCAGTCGCACCATCACATCCTTGCACTGCGGCCTTGCAACCCATTACTCTCTTTCCCCATCACACCGTGTCACTCCTGAGCAACTCACAGTTCTGGATGCTGCGACCTGAGAGTCACCCACACCCAAGGCTGGAGGGTTAAAAACAGCTGAGGCTGAGTAGAACTCTGTAAGCAGAGAGGAGTCTGGGAGGTACAGAGGCCTGAATACCAGACTGCTTAGTCTCAAAAAGCCTGACACACACCCTGCAGAGCTCAGACACTGCCTGACACCTCGTTCTGCTGGAGACCTGGCGCTCCAAAGCCTCTGTCTCCCTGAACAGACCAAAAAGTCAAAATGACCACCAGGTAAACACCCCAGAATTCACACCCTCAACCAAGTTCACCTGGATAATGTGCCTATCCTGGGCTTTCACTGGCTAAACACAGCCACTCTTTTTGAAAAAATATATTTTATTGATTTTTTTACAGAGAGGAAGGGAGAGAGATACAGAGCTAGAAACGTCGATGAGAAACTTCGACCAGCTGCCTCTTGCACACCCCCTACCAGGGATGTGCCCGCAACCAACGTACATGCCCTTGACGGGAATCGAACCTGGGACCTTTCAGTCCGCAGACCGACGCTCTACCACTGAGCCAAACCGGTTTCGGCAACACAGCCATTCTTAGGTGCATTGCCCTGTGGGTAATATACTTTTCTAGGCCTCCGGGGTGGAATTAGGACCCAAGTCACTCACTAACCTTTCCAAATATTGGTGTTTGAGACGAATATTGGCACTGGGTAACAACTTGAGATTTTGGTGACAGGTTTCTGGGGAGTGTGGTCTGCAACTGATGTGTTCATTTGCACACATTTTAGGTTCTGTAAAACTCAGAATGCTTCATGAGGCAAAAAGTCTTATTTCCATGTTTCCTGAAGACTACAACTATAAATGGATAAATAATGTAAAGGTGTTTAATTGATTTTGAGAGAGAGAAGAAGGAAGACAAAAGGAGAAACACAGATGGGCTGCCTTCTCCATGCCCCTGAATGGGGATTGTGCCCATAACCCCAGCTGGTGCCCTCAAAGGAGAATCTAACTGGCAAATATTTGGGTCATGAAACAATGCTCAACACACTGAGCCACTCCAGCCTGAATTTTTTAAACATAAAAATAACACATTAAGAGTAAAAGCAGGCTATGAGAGAATATATATAATCCTACCCTATTCATTTTTAAATAAAAATTGAAAGAATAGCCAAAACTGGTTTGGCTCAGTGGATAGAGCGTCGGCCTGTGGACTGAAATGTCCCAGGTTCAATTCCGGTCAAGGGCATGTACCTTGGTTACGGGCACATCCCCAGTAGGGGTGTGCAGGAGGCAGCTGATCGATGTTTCTAAGTCTCTATCCATCTCTCTTCCTCTCTGTAAAAAATCAATAAAATATATTTTTAAAAATTGAAAGGATACATAGGCCAACAAGTTGGTATTCCCTACACCACATGTGTCAAACACAAGGCCCGCGGGCCAAATCCGTCCCGCCAGACCTTGCAATGTGGCCCACACCGCGCTGTCATCACTGCACTCCGCTACGTTTCCATCACAATGACAGTTTATGACTGTTCAGTAAACCATTTGGCCGGCGATTTAGGCTGGATTTTAGATTTTGGCCCCTTCTCTGATTGAGTTCGACACCCCTACCCTACACTGTTAGAATATTTGTAATCAACACACATTGTGAAGCTATAAAGGAAAGTTACCGAATGTTTACTACATATGCCAGGCCCTGGATTCTATGCTTTACACACGCATTATTTCATTGAATCCTCTCCGCACCTGTAATAGTTTAACCATCTACCGAATGGAGAGGGAATCCAGGCTCAGACACTCAGAATAAACCGCCTAATTGTAGAGTTAATGAGACATGGCTCCCAGTCAAGCCCATGTGTCTCTAACCACATAGCTCTGGCTTCCAATGTTAGGCTCTGCTGCCTCCTAGAGGGTAAAATAGGGGATGCATTCATATAAGGGCAGCCTAAATGTTATTGTGGGTAAAGAACAGCCCAAAAGCTTTAGTGGATTACACTAACGAAGGCATGTTCCTTGTTCATAACACAGGTCCACTCTCATTCTCCTAGTATTGGCATAAAGGCGTAGATACCTGCTAGGAGTTATCAGAGATGGAGAGACATCAAGGCCAGATGGAGAGACATCTTCCAGACTCTGTCAGAGTGACAGGCTTCACTCCCACCTTATTTCATTGGTCAAACCACATCACAGGTTGCAATCAACATCAGGGTTCATTCAGCCACAGAATGTGACGTAATTGATGGGCCCCAGTAGGTCGACCTAATGGTGCCAGTCTCTTGTGGGGGACTGTGCAGGGCCAAGGGGAGGAGGGAGGGTTGGTGGGAAATGACAGAGGAAGTCTGTCAGGATGGGTCCCTGTCTCCTCATCCAGGAGGACAGTCCCCAGGTTGCCCTAAACTGTCACTGGGTGAACCTCAGAAAAAGGAGTTTGTTCAGATGTCATTGGCAGCAAACTGAGAACCCACTTGTGAGTGTGACCCTGGGTAAATCCCTGGCTCCTGTGTTCACCATGGTGGTCGAGGTGATGACTCATATGATAAGTGTGTTGATTGGGAAGGTACAGGAGTGCAAGCATCCAATATTGATATTCTTATATCATTTTTAAATAAATCTTTATAGTTCATACTATTACAGTTGTTCCCCCTTTCCCTCCATAGCTACCCTCCACCTGATTCCTACCCTTATCCCCCCTACAGTACTCTTCCGTAGGTGTATGATTTTTGTCCAGTCTCTTCCCGCACCTCACACCCCCTTCTCCCTAAGAATTGTCAGGCGACTCCCTTTCTATGCCCCTGATTCTATTATATTCACCAGTTTATTCTGTTCATCAGATTTTATTAAATTAATTTTTTACAGAGAAGAAGGGAGAGAGACAGCTAGAAACATCGATGAGAAACATCGACCAGCTGCCTCTTGCACACCCCCTACTGGGGATGTGCCCGCAACCAAGGTACATGCCCTTGACCGGAATAGAACCCGGGACCTTTCAGTCGGGAGACTGACGCTCTCCCACTGAGGCAAACCGGTTTGGGCCAGATTGTTTTATTCTCTTGACTTTTAGACTCACTTGTTGACCCTAAAGGTGAGTGTTAAAGAAATGAATGTGCAACAGCCACAGTCTTACCTTTTTTAATTACTCTTCAACCTCCAACTAATAAAATAGGTGATCTACAACTCCTCCCTCATCCAGACTGTTTACTATTTTCTAAAGTAGTCTTCACCTTGAACTACTCCTCATACTTACAGAAGGTCATGAACTGGTCTCTGAAATATCTCATACCCTAACAGGTAAAAGATAAAAGGTTTTATATTCCTCATGAACCTGACTGTTCCCACCATGAATTTCTCCATGTCAGTGGATGGTGCTTTCATACCTTCAGGTGCTAAATCCAAACCTTTACATCATCTCTGATTCCTACCTCGCTCCCCAAACTTCAAAATTAGAAAATCCAGGTGGCCACACATAAATCACCGATCCCTAAGGCAACTGCTTCTTCCACATCCACAACCACCACTGTGCTCCCATCACCATCACCCTCACCAAGGCCATCACAGCAGCTTCCATTGTAGTCTTCCTACCCCCGTCCTCACACCCATGCTGTGCCTCATGCTGCAGTCACAAGAGTCTAATGAGACCTGGGACACCTCACCTGCTCTACTGCTCCAATGACTCCAAATGACCCCACCACCAGCAGAACAGAAGTCCAAGTTGTCATAAAGCTCCTCTGGGCTTGATTCTTGTCCCACTGTTGCCAATCCCTATTTTTAAACAGTGGACACCTGATTGTCCCTGAGTCAGCTTAGTCTTCCCTTCAAGCCATGACACATTCTGCAGCCTTTGCTTGTGAGGACCTATCACCCACAATTCCACTGGTTGCCAAAATCAGGCGCCAATAATATGACCTTTGACCTGGGCTTTAGGGTTCTGGGCTTCTTTTCCCTTCAAGGTCCCCCAGTCCAAGGTCCCTCGATAAGAGCGGCTGGACAGCCCAGGCCCCACAGCCTGAGGCCCCCGCAGTGGGAGGCCCTGACCTCAGCCCACAGCCCGGCCCCTGAGCGGCTCTGACCGCAGGGCCTGTGGAGCTGAAGGTGCTGAGGGCCCGGCTCCCCCGCCAGGACCCGGGGCCCAGGCTGCTCGGGGCCTGGCCCAGCCCCGGGGCCGAGGCCGCCGCCCCCTCGGGCTCCGTCCCTCTGTGCGCACAGCCAGCCCGGCCCTGAGGAGGACAGGCTCCTCCCGGAAGCCCCGGTCCCTTTAGACACACAGGCCGGCCGCCCCCCTCCGCCCCGGCCTCCCGGGCCCCGCCCGCCCCTGCGGCCCCCACGGGCACTCACTGCTCCGGGCGGCGGCCTGGGCTGCGGCCTGGGCGGCGCCGCCCCGAGGCGGGAGGGCGCCGGGGCCGCTGAGGGCGCTGTGTCCGCGGGAGGAGGCGGGGGCCCGGGGACCCAGTCCCGCCGGGTGGGGTCCCCCCGCCTCAGACACCCCGCCCGGCGGGACGCCGTCCCCCACGCCTCCTCCTTCTGGCGACGGACGCGGTGAAGCCCCTGAGCCGGTGAACAGATTGAGGAAGTCAAAATGTCCGCCACAAGGAAGAATCCGGAAGTCCCGCCCTAACCGGATGCACTGGCTCCAAAGGCACTGCGTAGGCGCATTGCTTTCTGGGAAATGTAGTTCTCTTAGCCGCCCAGGAGAGGGCTGGCTTTCCAGCCCAGGAACTTGAGGAACAAGGTGTGTGGGGCTGCCAGGGGAGGCTGGGGAGGGAGAAGATGGGCCCAGAGGCCTGGTGACTTGGGACAGACTGACGGACCTCCCAGGGGACGGGGGTGGGGTGGGGCGGTTGGTAGAGATCCTCCAAAGAACATATACATGGGGGAAATCAGAGACATCTGTAACATTATCAACAATAAAAAATACATAAGACAGGTGAGGGGGCAATGGGGGTATAAGGACACACATGAAATACCTTAATCAATAAGGAAATTTTAAAAATAATAAAAAATTTAAAAATACATATTTAAAAAGTATTTCAAAAGAAGATAGCCCAGCTGGTGAGGCTGAGTGGTTGAGCATCAACCTATGACCCCGGAGGTCACGGTTGTATTCCTGGTTGGGGCACGTATGTGGGTTGCAGGTTCAATCCCTGGTGTGGGCAGGGACTTGCAGAAGCCAGATAATCAGTGATTCTCTCTTATTATTGACGTTTCTCTCTCTCTCCAGTCCTCTAAAAAAAAAAATAATAATAATAATTATATATATATTGAAGAATAATATGCAAATTGACCATCACTCCAACACACAAGATGGCCTTCCCCAAGTGGTCAAAGATGGCGGACCCCATATGGACATAAGATGGCTGCTACAAGATGGCCACAGGGGAGGGCAGTTGTGGGCGATCAGGCCAGCAGCGTTGGGCAGTTAGGGGTGACCAGACCAGCAAAGAATGGGAGTTGGGGGGTGGGAGGGACCAGGCCTGCAGGGGAAGGCAGTTGGGTGGCTCAGTACTGCAGCAGAGGGCAGTTGGGAGGAACCAGGCCTGCAGGGGAGGGCAGTTGGGGGCCACCAGGCTGGCAGGGGAGGGTAGTTAGGAGAAACTGGACCATCAGGGGAGGGCAGTTGGGACATCCAGGCCTAAAGGGGAGGACAGGAGCAACAAGGTCAGCAGGGAAGGGCAGTTAGGGGTGACCAGGCCAGCAGGGGAGAGCAGTTAGGGGTGATCGAGCCAGCAGGGGAGTAGTTAGGCATTGATCAGGCTGGCAGGGGAGTGGTTATCCAGGAGCTCAGAATATTCAGGCTGGCAGGCAGAAGCAGTCAGGGGCAATCAGGCAACAGGCAGGTGCGAAGTTGGGAGCCAGAAGTCCTGGATTGTGAGGGATGTCCAACTGCCTATTTAGGCCTTCAATATCCTGCTATCTCTCTTCTTCTGGCACCCCCAAAATTAGGAAGTTGGTACACTTAAAGCTGTCGCAGGGGCTCCTTACACTATCATCACACTTTTGAATTTTTCTTTCTGGTTGGGTGTTTTTTGCTTCCTCATATTCCAGATCTTTGCCATGGATCACTGCATTAGCCCAACAATAACAGGAAGGTGTGCATCCCTATGACACCAAAATTCTGTACCTGGCATGTAAGTGCCACACAACACCCGTCTTTCTAGGAATGATCCTAAAATTCCCCATGTTGTATCATACAGTTATCACCAGAAATGGACTCAACCTAATTCCCTCTATAGTAGGGGTGTCGAACTCAATCAGAGAAGGGGCCAAAATCTAAAATCCAGCCTAAATCGCGGGCCGAATGGTTTACTGAACAGTCATAAACTGTCATTGTGATGGAAACGCAGCGGAGTGCAGTGATGACAGCGTGGTGCAGGCCACATTGCAAGGTCTGGCGGGACGGATTTGGCCCGCGGGCCTTGTGTTTGACACATGTGCTCTATAGCAACATCAGGGATCTGTGGCCATGAATTCACACTCCCTCTCCAAGAGCACATCACTCCTTCTCCCATACTTCCCACGCCCACACCTGCATTCCCATAGCCCAACTCCCACAGACATCTCCTTGGTCTTAGTCATTACTCAGCATGTGTGTTCCAGAGAAGGCATGACAAGTTCATTTGTCAATTACTAACCTGATTCTGAATGTCCACACCCAAGACACAGCCTTCATTTCTGGTATGAAGGCCTCCCACCCAACTTGTTCTTCCTTCAACCTCCCCTATTGAGTACCACATCAGAGCCCACCTCTACTACTGCTGCACTTGATGTCCCTTTTCCACTCACAGGTGGCCACACCTAAATCACTGATCCCTAAGGCAACTGCTTCTTCCACATCCACAACCACTGTGCTCCCGTCACCATCCCCCTTACCAAGGCCACCACAGCAGCTTCCATTGTAGTCTTCCTACCACAGCCCTCACACCCATGCTGTGCCTCATGCTGCAGTCACAGGAGTCTAATGAGACCTGGGACACATCCCCTGCTCTTCTGCTCCAATGACCCCACCGCCAGCAGAACAGAAACCCCAGTTGTCACAAAGCTCCTCTAAACTGGATTCCTGTCCCACTGTTGCCAGTTTCTGTTTGGACACCTGCTCGGTCCTGATTCATCTTAGTGTTCACTTCAAGCCTTGGCACCTTCTGGAACCTATGCAAGGAAGGCCCTATCACCCACAATTCCACTGGCTGACACAATCAGGTTCCAAACACATGACCCTTGACCTGGGCTTAGCATTCTGGGCTTGGTGTCCCTTCCAGGTCCCCAGGTCCAAGGTCCCCCGAGGAGAGCGGCTGGACAGCCCAGGCCCCACAGCCTCAGAGGCCCCCCCAGTGGGAGGCCCTGACCTCAGCCCACAGCCCAGCCCCTGAGCGGCTCTGACCGCAGGGCCTGTGGGAGCGGAAGGCGCTGAGGGCCCGGCTCCGCCGCCAGGACCCGGGGCTCAGGCTGCTCGGGGCCTGGCCCAGCCCCGGGGCTGGGGCCGCCACCCCCTCGGGCTCCGTCCCTCTGTGCGCACAGCCAGCCCGGCCCTGAGGAGGACAGGCTCCTCCCGGAAGCCCCTGTCCCTTTAGACACACAGGCCGGCCGCCCGCCCTCCGCCCCGGCCTCCCAACCCAGTCCCGCCGGGTGGGGTGCCCCCCGCCTCAGACACCGCTGCCCGAGCATATTTGTATGTATATGGTACCCCTTCATGCTGACGGAACACAACTTTCCTTTAAATCATCCCAGGGAGAAAATAGAACCAACAAAATTAAAGGTACAAAACTAAAAACACCTTTACATAAAGATCGTAAACCAGAGCAGAGGATAGCAAGAGGTTTGTATGTGGATGAACTGAACCTAAAACACTTCATCACAGCATACTGTGAGTCCCACAACGTCCCTGAAAGAGTTAGCATTTCTTGGTGGAGGAAGTGGACTATGGAAAAAACCTAGATCAGGTCAATTCTCTGGTCAGAAATAAAGGAATGACAATTCATCCAGGAGCTCAGAATATTCGTAATTTTCTCAAGTACAGTCCCAGAGCATGCAGGGGTTGTGACTGAGGCACACTCTTCGGATGAGGCAGGCGGTAGGAGTGAAAGAGCTTCCACACAAATCCTTTCAATGACATAAATCCGGCTTCTGGAAGTGTCACTTATACCTGAAACAAAACAGGCATCTAGCAGAGTGCATGTTTAGATAAAGGGGTTTCCATTCAAGTAAATGCGGGTAAAAGCTTCTTCTCTGGTTGTGTTCTTCTGAGTGAGAAAGTAAAATATTCCCTGGACATTTAAAGCTTTTCTCCAGTGTGTACGCTCAAGTGTTGCACGAAGAAAGATTTGTAGTGAAAAGATATCCCACATTCCATACACTCATGAGGCCCTTTTCCAGTGTGAACTCTGTGGTGTTGAATGAGAGTACATTTTTTCCTGAAAGACATACCACAGTCACTACACTCATACAGCTTTTCTCGTGTGCATTTTCTGGTGTTTCATGAGATTGGAACTTTGACTGAATGATTTCCCACATTCACTACATTTATAAGGTTTTTCTCCAGTGTGAACTCTCTTGTGTACAGTGAGGGCAGAACGATTACTGAAGGTCTTCTCACAATAACTACACTTATAAGGTTTTTCTCCAGTGTGAACTCTCCGGTGTAGAGTGAGGGCAGGCCTGCTACTGAAGGACTTCTCACAATCATTACACCGATAAGGTTTTTCTCCAGTGTGAACTCTCTTGTGTACAATGAAGGAATGACTATTACTAAAGGACTTCTCACAATCACTACACTTATAAGGTTTTTCTCCAGTGTGAACTCTCTGGTGTACATTTAAGGCATAACCATTACTAAAGGACTTCTCACAATCACCACACTTATAAGGTTTTTCTCCAGTGTGAACTCTCTGGTGTACATTTAAGGCATGACCATTACGAAAGGACTTCTCACAATCACTACATTTATAAGGTTTTTCTCCAGTGTGAACTCTCCGGTGCCTAATGAGATTAGAGGTAGTTCTGAAGGACAACCCACAATCACTACACTCGAATGGTTTTTCTCCAGTGTGAATTCTGCGGTGTTGAGTGAGGGAAGACTTTAGATTGAACAGCTTCCCACAGTCAGTACACCGATAGGACATTACTCCAGTGTGATCCCTCCTATGTTTTTTGTGGTTAAAGGTACCGCTGAAAACTTTCTCACATGTATTATACTCATATTTCACTTCTCTGGCGCTGATGCCCTGGTTCTGGTTTTGGCTGGCAGCTTTTTCACATTCATCCCATTGGTGCTGCCTTTTTCTACTGAGAAATTCCTGTGAAATCTCAATACGACTCTGGGGTTCCTCAGTGTCGAGAAGTGCCTGGTACTGGACAAGCTCTGAGATGGCTGGGAAGTCATCCCCAACTTCCTTATTGTTTAAAGACAGCGCTTGTAAATGAAAGCTGCACTTGGTCACAAATGAGGCCCCGTCCACAGCTGTTTTCCAGGGCTTCTCTCCACTGGATTCCTTCAGTTGATGGGGAGGGTTTGCACTGAAACCGAAGTCTCTCACACATGCATCACTGAAGAAGGCTTTCTGCTCAAAGTCTGCTGCTTGTGACTCAGTCAGGTGCAGAATGTCTTTCAAAACAGAGAAACACCTCCCACAGAGATGCATCCTCTTTGTTGCTAGAGCTGAATTAGGAGCACTAACCTGCAACTCCCCTTTTACAGATACATGCTGCTCAGAACACACCTCTGCATCATCCATTTGATGCCCACAACCTGAAAACAGAAAAATGGTGATGAAATGAATGTCGACTGTGGTTACAGGGAGAAGTCTCATTACAAAAGTGTGTTGCACATAACAAGTTGGTTGCATGCAAATGTCTGACAGTAAATATCTGAAGGAAATATTGACAAGATGCTGCTGTGAAGATCTCGGCGTCTGAAGATTATCATACAAGGAAGACCTCATGCAAAATATGAAACAAACATGGCAAGTACCACATGAAAAAAAAGCTGGATCATTTGCTCATTTTTCTGCTAATAGTGTTAAACAGGGCTTGTCTGCTGGTGGCATATACTAGCTGTGCTTTAAGGTTGGATACCACTTATTCCACAATAACTTGTAAAATTCTCAAAAACCAGAATGTTGTGTCAGGGTCTAGTGACTCAGTTCTGTGCACCTCGTAACACATATCCATGTCAATATTTGAAAATACTGCAGCCCTAACCGGTTTGGCTCAGTTCATACACCACTGGCCTTCAAATAGAAGAGCCCAGGTTCAGTTCTGGCCAAGGGCATGTACGTTGGTTGTGGGCACATCCCCAGTACGGGGTGTGCATGAGGCAGCTGATTGTTTCTATGTTTTCCATCCCTCTAACTTTCTCTCTGTAAAAAATTTCAATTCAACATATTTTTTAAAATAAAATAAAATAAAATACTGCAGATAGAATAGTTCAGAAGAACAGGTGATGGAAAAGAGCCAGAGGGTGAAGGTAGCCAGAAACCAGGAAGCCACAGATTAAAAGATAAGTCAGGGAAGTGTCAAGCAGGAGAATAAAAAGGTTGAAGAAAGCTGCTGCCAGTGGCACCACAACCTAAACTTGTTGGACATGAGCAGGATCCCGGTATGATCTAAACATCACCCTTACGTCATCCCTCCCCCCTAGCTGCAAATCAGGAGGGCAAGGCAACCCTTATGCCATAATGTATGTTCACCTTGTGACAAAAAACCGTTCTCCTTGCACCTTTTACTTTACAAAATATAAAACAACAATACTCTGTGTTTTATTAAAAGACAACAGTGGTGAGTAGCCAGCACTGACCTGAGCAAGACAGCATTCAATAGTATTCAGGGAACAGAATATTACAAACAATTGAAAGAGGACTTTCAAGAACTGTCCATGGGCTCATGCAAGTACAGACCATAATCTGGCACAGTTAGTCACAAAGAGCCTTTAGCTGGAGGAATGCTGCAGAAGTGGGAGCCATGTATGTGGACATAGACACCCTCCCAGGAAGAGAAAGTGAAAGCTTGGAACCATTAAGCTGTTTGCAACAATCCTGATTCCCAGATACTTCCTGTCCTATCTGAAGCTATGGGTGTGAGGTATATTCATGGAGTCCTTTGTTCAGATCTTTCCAAATTACTCAGCACTCTCAGTCACAGTACATTTGACAGGACAATGGGGAAAACAAGTACAGCCCACAGTCTGGCTGTGAAAGCTATATCCGGAAAAGAAAGGAGGAGAGGACGTCACCTCAGAACACTAGGAGAGATGTGGAGGTCTTACCTACAGATGAGACCAGTGCAAAAGCTTCTACCATCATCTTGCAGTACAGACGTCTCTGTGCCTCATCAAGGATCCCCCACTCCTCCTCAGAGAAGGTGATGGCCACGTCCTCAAAGTTCATCTCCTGTCACAATGGGCAGAGTACAGTCCATGATGAGTTACTCTTTTAGGATTTTATGTTCATAATACTCCCCAACCTCTACATCCATCTGCTCCCTCAACTCTCCACATTAGAAAAGAGTCCAATCAAAGTCATTCTCTCTTTTTGGTCCAGTCGATGCCGTGTATTCCCCCAACAATAAGGGCAAATAATCTTGTAGATGATATCTCTTCTCTGAAACTCACATGTAGACCACACCCCTTTTCAATGCAGTGGGTGTCATGAACATAGGGTAGGGAGAGATGGTGTCCATAAGGAGACTGTGAGTGATTTGCCACCGTGTTTGACAGGCAATCACCTTGTCATCTCTCTATTCAGGGAATCGCAAGGTTATGGTATCATTGTTCAAACTTTTGAACCTAATCCGAGGGTTCTGACGCCATCACTACCTGCTGCACATAATGCTTTGAACCACACTTCTCTCACACAGCTGTATTCCCAGAGACACAACTTCAAATGTAACATAAAAGTACCAATATGACCACAGTTTATTTCCTAATCACCTTCTTTTCCAAAATTCTACCCCACCACCTCTGTAGTGTATTTCTCTCTTACCCTTCTCCCATCTCCATGCCAAAGTTTCAAGCCTAGAAGACAGGGATGTATGCTATCTTATAATTATTGATCAGTGTAACAGCCCTCAACAACAAAAGCTAGGTGTGCACATAAATTCCACTGAAGCGCTGCACCAGGAATGTTCCACCAGAACACACCCCCTTTCATGAATTAATCGGTAATTCACCATATCATATTGCCAGACATCATAGAAATGGACTCAAACTTCATGTCAATGTCAGGGCCCTTTAACTATGAAGGCACATGACTACTCCAAGGGCATATCACACTTTCTCTTACACCCATCTCACACCTACACTCCCACACTCACAGCACCCAGGGTGATTTACTTGACTTCCTACTCATTACTAAGCTTGTGTAGAGTAGTGAGTGCTTGGCAAATTCAAACAGGATTAATTCCTACACCAACTCTGAGAGCCCACACTCATTGAGGAAGCCTTAAGTTCTTCTATGGAGGCCTCCCTCCCTGATTGTGTTTCCCTTCGATCTCAATTACTGACAACCACATCAGATCTCAGATATCCGGAAAACACCTCCACTGGAGCTGCACCTGATGTCCCTTCACCAATCACAGCTTTCAGCCCTAAAGTCCCATCACCTAAAGCCCCTACCACATTCCCAATACGTCTGACAGATGCCCACTCGTGCCACCCAGCAAATCAACCAGATTGATGAGAACATCCCAGACTAAGGCTCAATCAAAATCCTGGTGTGCGTTTAACAAGTGAATATGCAACAGCCGCAGTCTCACACTCTTTGACTCACTCCTTGGTCTCCAATTAAAAAGAAAGAAAATGACCTACAACTCCAATCTGGTCCTTATATTCCCACCTACATTTTAGAGTTGTTATTCTGAACTGCTCCTCAGAGTTCCAGATGCTCATGAACTGCTCTCTGAAATATCGGAAACCCTAATAGGTAAAATATAGAAGTTTTGGCATCCCCAAGTAACATTACATTTCCTAATATGCATATCTGCATCTCAGCTGATGGTCCTTCCATACCTCCATCTGCCAAATGCAAACCTTCACATCATCCCTGCCTTTTTTTTTTGTAATTTCTTTGTTGATTAAGATGTTACATAATGTGTTCATTTTCCAATCCCTCCCCACCCCCATAACCCCTTACTCACATCCCTGACTCTTACCTCTTTTTCCACCTCCAAATTAGAAAATCCTGGTGGCCACACCTAAACCACCAATCCAGAATCCAAAGCTTATTTAACCTCCACAGCCACCATCAGGGCCAGTTACCATCACACTCACCGAGACTGTCACAGCGGCTACCATCCTAGTCTTCTACCGCCTCCATCCCATCTATATACAGGAGCTCTGTGTCATGTTGGAAGTGTGCTCTGCAGGTAATGGGAGGTTTCGAGCAGTAGGGGCAAGTCATGTGATCAAGGTCTCATTGGATTCTCCATGGCTGCAGCATGATCAACTATATAGATGGGTCATCATCCTCCCAATATATCGGACCCCTCTACTCCCAACATCTGAAAATATACCAGGTCTTCCAAGTCAGTCTCTCTTTGTATTCCTGCAGATACTGTGCTTTCCCATGACAATAAGGCAGGTAAGCTGATTGATGATACCTGTGCTCTGGGCCTCACATTGGGTCTAGTCAACAAGTGGTTGTCATGAACATAGAGAAGGAGAGTTGTGGGCCATCAAGAGAGTGTGAGTGGTTTGACACTGATCTTATCAGGCATCCCCCTGGCATTGCCTTGGACTGTCCCTCTAAGACACAAAAAAAACATGGCATCACACTTTACCCTTCCAATCTCAATCCAGGGTGCTGAGGCCATCACTTTCCACTACCTGCTCCATATAATTCTTTGAAGCACACTTTCTCTCACTTATCTTCATTCCCAGAGGCAGAACTTCAAAGATAACACCAATATGCCACGATGAGAATCCATTGTTTCACAATCAGCTTTTTCCCCCAAATTCAAGTTCACCACCTCTGTAATGTGTATCTCCCTTTTCCTTTCCCATGGCATGGAGATTTTCAAGCCCAGGTGACCCTAAAACATGCTATCGCTTTCCAATGGATCACTGTATCAGCCCTCAATACCAACAGGCAAGTGTTTCCATACATGGCATCTAAGATTTGGACCTAGCATGTAGCTAGATTCCTTCAATAGAAACCCTAAAATTCCCCCATAGGATATCATAGAGACACCACCAGAAAGTGGATTACCCTTCATTCACCTGTATGTCAGTGTCAGTGTGCTCTAGCCATGAATTCACACTCACTCTCCAAGCACACTCATTTTTTTATTTATTTTTTTTTCAGAGAGGAAGAGGGACAGAGAGCTAGAAACATCGATGAGAAACATTAACCAGCTGCTTCCTGCAAGCCTCCACTCCCTCCACTGGTGATGTGCCCAAAACTAAGGTACATGCCCTTGACCGGAATCGAACCTGGGACCTTTCTGTCCGCAGGCTGATGCTCTATCCACTGAGCAAAACTGGTTTCGGCTGTACTCACTCTTTCTACCACACCTCTCACACCTGCACTCCCTCAACCACAACCCTCAGAGTTATCTCCTTGGCTTCCGAGTTTTCACTCACAGTGTGGTACAGAGAATGCTTGGCAAATTCCAACTGAATGAAGTTCTATCCATCTACGGAGGAATATTTTATGGTGAACATTTTTTGGGAAAACTTCAGAACCCTATCTCAGACAATGCCTCTCTTTTGTTCATGATCATCCATGGCCTGTTACCTGAGAATCAACATAAAAAACCTCACACAAAATTTTGCCTCATCTTCTGATGAGGCACTTTGCCTGAGACACACCCTGCAGAGCTCAGACACTGCCTGACACCTCGTTCTGCTGGAGACCTGGCGCTCCCACCCTCAACCAAGTACACCTGGATAATGTGCCTATCCTGGGTTTTCATTGGCTAAACACAGCCATTCTTAGGTGCAATGCCCATTGGGTAATGTACTTTTCTAGGACTCCCAAGTGGAATTAGGATCCAAGACAATCACTGGCCTTTCCAAATATTGGTGTTTGAGAGCAAATATTGGTGCTGGGTAAGGAGAACTTGAGATTTTGATGACAGGTTTCTGGGGAGTCTGGTCTGCAACTGATGTGTCCATTTGCACACATTTTAGATTCTGTAAAACTCAGAATGCTTCATGAGGCAAAAAGTCTTATTTCCATGTTTCCTGAAGTTGACAACTATAAATGGATAAATAGATGTTTTAATTGATTTTGAGAGAAGGAAGACAAAAGGAGAAACACAGATTGGCTGACTTCTCCATGCCCCCAAATGGGGATTGTGCCCATAACCCAAGCTGGTGCCCTCAAAGGAAAACCTAACTGGCAAATGTTCTGGTTAACAAACATAGCCACTCCAGCCTGGATTTCTTTTTAACATAAAAATAACACTTGATTGGGAAGGTATAGGAGTGTAAGCATCGAGTATCGATGTTCTTTTATTTTATTATTTTTAAATAAATCTTTATTGTTCAGATTATTACAGCTGTTCCCCCTTTTCCTCCATAGCTACCCTCCACCTGGTTCTTACCCTTATCCCCACTACAGTACTCTTCCATAGGTGTATGATTTTTGTCTAGTCTCTTCCTGCACCCCTGCACCCCTACACATCCTTCCCCATGAGAATTGTCAGGCCACTCCCTTTCTATGCCCCTAATTCTATTATATAATATTCACCAGTTTTTTTATTCACTTGACTTTTAGACTCACTTGTTGACCCGACAGGTGAGTGTTTAAGAAATAAATGTGCAACAGCCACAGTCTTACCTTTCTGAATTACTCTTCTATCTCCAACTAATAAAATAGGTGATCTACAACTCCTCCCTCATCCAGAGTGTTTACTATTTTTTAAAGTAGTCTTCACCTTGAACTACTCCTCAGATTTCCAGATGGTCATGAACTGGTCTCTGAAATATCTCATACCCCAATAGGTAAAAGATAAAAGATTTTACATTCTTCATGTACCTGACTGTTCCCACCATGAATTTCTTCATGTCAGTGGATGGTGCTTTCATACCTTCAGGTGCTAAATCCAAACCTTTACATCATCTCTGATTCCTACCTCGCTCTCCAAACTTCAAAATTAGAAAATCCAGGTGGCCACACCTAAATCACTGATCCCTACGGCAACTGCTTCTTCCACATCCACAACCACCACTGTGCTCCATCACACTCACCAAGATCATCACAACAGCTTCCATTGTAGTCTTCCTACCCCCGTCCTCACACCCATGCTGTGCCTCATGCTGCAGTGGAAGCCTGAGACCTGGGACACATCACCTGCTCTACTGCTCCAATGACCCCAATGACCCAACCAGCAGCAGAAAGGAAGCCCCAGTTGTCACAAAGCTCCTCTGTACTTGATTCCTGTCCCACTGTAGACAGATCCGATTTTTAAAAAATTAACACCTGCTCATCCTTGAGTAGTATAGGAAAAACTACATTAGCCAGAAGGCTTGGTCTTCACTTCAAGCCTTCGCACATTATGGAATCTATGCAAGGAAGGGCCTATCACCCACAATTCCACTGGTTGCCCAAATCAGGTGCCACTCACATGACCCTTACCCTATGGTTAAGGTGCTAGGCTTAGTGCCCATTCCAGGTCCCCAGGTCCAAGGTCCCCCGAGGAGAGAGGCTGAACAGCCCAGGCCCCACAGCCTCAGAGGCCACCGTAGTGGGAGGCCCTGACCTCAACCCACAGCCCGGCCCCTGAGCGGCTCTGATCGCAGGGCCTGTGGAGCTGCAGGCGCTGAGGGCCCGGCTCCGCCGCCAGGACCCGGGGCTCAGGCTGCTCGGGGCCTGGCCCAGCCCCGGGGCCGCCGCCCCCTCGGGCTCCGTCCCTCTGTGCGCACAGCCAGCCCGGCCCTGAGGACAGGCTCCTCCCGGAAGCCCCGGTCCCTTTAGACACACAGGCCGGCCGCCCCCCTCCGCCCCGGCCTCCCGGGCCCCGCCCGCCCCTGCGGCCCCCACGGGCACTCACTGCTCCGGGCGGCGGCCTGGGCTGCGGCCTGAGCGGCGCCGCCCCGAGGCGGGAGGGCCGCCGGGGCCGCTGAGGGCGCTGTGTCCGCGGGAGGAGGCGGGGGCCCGGGGACCCAGTCCCGCCGGGTGGGGTCCCCCCGCCTCAGACACCTGCCCGGCGGGACGCCGCTACCCACGTATTCTCCTACTGGCCGCCTGAGCGCTGCCGCTGAGTCTGTGAACACGCGGAACACGCCAAAATAGCCGCCAGGAGGAGGACACAGGAAGTCCCGCCCCAACCGGATGTGAAGTGCCAAATGCTCTTTACCTCTCACTCTGGTGCAGTGCCTTCTGGGTAATGTTTTTCCTATCCCAGAGGACTCATCCTAGACAAGAAACTTGGAGAGTAAAGGTGTGAAGGACCCACAAGTGGTGCTGGAGGAGGATATGGGGCCGGAGATCTGCTTACCTGGTCCACAGGGACAGATCCACCGAAGAACACATATAAGGGGGAAATGGCAGACATCGGTAATACTACCAACAATAAAACATACTGATAGTAAAAGAATTATTTTTCAGCCGAAACAGGTTTGGCTCAGTGGTAGAGCGTCAGTCTGCAGACTGAAAGGTCCCGGGTTCGATTCCGGTCAAGGGCATGTACCTTGGTTGGGGGCATATCCCCGGTAGGGGTGGTGAAAGAGGCAGCTGTAATGCCCAAGTGTCATAAACCCCAAAGACTACCTGGGAACCGAATCCAATGCAATTGCAGAAAGCCTGTATTTATATCGGACTAGTCAGAGCTCAGTCCCACTTACACCTGCGAGGGCATGGGGAGAAAGAGAAAGAACTTAACCTATCAATGGGTTTTATAGGGAGGGTGGTGCCGCTACCTTGGCTGACCTGATTGGCTGGGTTAGGCCTAGGGTTCAGTTACTGGGAGCTGGACCCGCCCCACCCTGCCCTCTCACCCTGCCTGCCCTCTCACCCCGCCCTGCCCTCTCAGCAGCTGCTGGATGTTTCTCTCTCACGGCCATTTCTAGCTATCTCTCTCCCTTCCTCTCTAAAAAATAAGTTAAAAAAAAAAAAAAAAGGAACAAGGACGTCCTAAAAAATAAATAAAAATAATAAAAATGAAAGAATTATTTTTCAAATACTGTATCCCAGCTGGGGTTACTCAGTGGTTGACCATCGACCTATGAACCAGGAAGTCATGGTATGAACCAGGAGGTAATGGATCTATTCATCGTCAGGGCACATACATGGGTTTCAGGCTCAATTCCCAGGGAGAGGGGAGGTACAGGAAGAAGGCTATTAGTGATTCTCTCTCATCATTGATGTTTCTATCTCTCTCCTACTCTCCCATACTCCCTAAAATCAATACAAAATATTATTTGAATGTGTGATTTACATGAATTGTAATTAAATGAATCTTTAAAAAGGTTTAAAATTTGAGGGTTCAAGATTTACTGTGTTATTATGAAAGTTCTGGAGCATATTTGTTGTAACTGTATCAGTATGTTGGAAATAAAATACAAGAATGTACTACTGAAATATGTTATCATGTGCATATTCACAGTTTTCTCTGGCAGTCTAAAACTGACCATGGTAAGAATATTTATGCCAGGGTAATTGACAAATACTGTAACCGCACACTTCATTTAATGTATTAATAAATGCTTAGACTTCAATAAGAGTGGCTCTGAAATTAACAATGCAGATTAAATTTATAAGTATATGGTATAATTTTGCCTCAGTTCTTAATAGCATTAAAAATGAGTAAAATAATTTTCCTTCAGGATTCAAAACCAATGGTTTCACCTGGCAAAGGCATTACTTGAGTCACTGAGGAATGAGGGAAATTTAAGCGGCACAGGCCTCCTTCAGTTAAAATAAAAAATTTATTTGAACAACTTGAAAAATGATTCTCAGCAGATATTTTAACAAAGAAGATAAATACAGTGCAAAGAAATGTATAAAAATGTTCACCATAAAATATTCCTGCGTAGATGGAATTAAAACAAGAGCAAGTAATTATTATCTGCAATTCTGGGGTTATTATTTTAAAAGGTTAACTACTGAATGCCCTTGCAGAGTAGCAAAAAGATAGGAATTTTTATATATTCTGGGTTAGTGGTATACCAAAATAAATGACCATTTTGGGTCACAGTTCTGCCTATCTTAAATATAAAACATTCACCTACACAACAGTGTGATATGTAAACCGTATGTCTATACAGAGAACTGAATGCAAATATTACCAGAAGAGTTAGGTATAATACCCCAAACCTGTAAATAACAAAAAAAAACACACACACACATCCATATATCAAATAATAAACTGCTTATTCACAGAATCCAGTACTACTCAGCAATAAAAAACAACCACTCTTCACATAAGAATTTGTATTAAATCTCAAAATCAATGTGTAGCTTGGAGGAAACCAGTATTTATTAAAATATACATAAAATAGTATGAAATTATGAACACTACGAACTAACCTATTATGAAGAGTGGAAAATCCCCGAGTTCAAAGGAGACCCAGAAAGGCAGAGAGATTATAACAGGACAGTAGAAAGAAGGTATAGAGTTATTGATACAGAAAATGGAACTTTAATTAATAATAAACAGGAATAAACTGTGCCCTGTCCAGTGTCCTCCGTTGGTTGGTTGTGATCCCATTCACTGACAAGTCCCTGGTTTGATTCCAGGTCAGTAAACATCCCTTAACGGGATTTCCCGTTGTGCTGTGCAGGAGGCAGCAGACCTATGTTTACCTCTCTCTTCCAGTCTCTTACTTCCTCTCTCCCCCCTAAAAATGAACAAAATTATTTTCCAAAATATTTTCTTCAAAAGGAATCTCTGTGTTTTGCAAACATACAACTGTAAGCACATTGTTGCCCCACCCTGTGTAGGAGTTAAAGGTGAGTGTATGTCACATGTGACAGTTTCACAGCTTTCTCTAGGTCAGGGCTCACCAAATAGCACACATGAGAAAGGGGCACTTTGTTCCATTTCAGTTCTCATTCCCTGGGAAGACCAGTTTTGCTCAGTGGCAGCAAATATGGTCAAGTAGGGGAGACAACTAATGCTGACTGGTTAAAAAACACATTCTGGGACTGATTACAGAGTGATCCTTCCTCTAGCTGTGAGGTCTTGCCTGCTGGGCAACAACCTTGAGATGAACACTTTTAAGGGGCCAGGAAATCCCCAACACCATGAAATTATTTTGTTTGCTACTGAGGCCAACTACAGGAAATAGTGATGGAGGTCCTCCGAACGTTCTCACAGATCATACAAACAATAGGACATGAAATACTTTGGATTTATGTTGAAAGAGGCACGTTTTATGCAGTATAACTGCAGTGTTAGCCTTAACTATGAAAACAGTGTTTAGGTCCCAAACTAATTCCACCTCAGAGTCTTACAACCAATGACACCAGGCTATGAAATCTCATACATCGTGACACATGACCTTTTCGGAGCACGTGGAGAGTAATTCCCCTAAACATTGCTGACATTTAGGTAATACATACTGGGAAAAGGGAATATAATTCATATTGTTCACAGGAACACAATAAAGGCTGCCTGTTCAGGGCGGCCTTTGACCATTGACCTCTACAATAAAAGAGGCACCAGACAGCACATTAGAACCACAAAGTCAAGCACACTTTCTATCAAGTCCTTGGTCGGCAATTTAAAATCAGCCAATATTAAACAAAGAATGATTTTCTGCCAACAAGCTATGCCTTCCAAAGCACGGAAAGTTTGAAATCACACCATATTGCTGGAGCATATATATTTGTATGTATATGGTACCCCTTCATGCTGACAGAACACAACTTTCCTTTAAATCATCCCAGGGAGAAAATAGAACCAACAAAATTAAAGGTACAAAACTAAAAACACCTTTACATAAACATCATAAACCAGAGCAGAGGACAGCAAGAGGTTTGTATGTGGATGAACTGAACCTAAAACACTTCATCACAGCATACTGTGAGACCCACAATGTCCCTGAAAGAGTTAGCATTTCTTAGTGGAGGAAGTGGACTCTGGAAAAAACCTGGATCAGGTCAATTCTCTGGTCAGAAATAAAGGAATGCCAATTCATCCAGGAGCTCAGAATATTCGCAATTTTCTCAAGTACAATCCCAGAGCATGCAGGGGTTGTGACTGAGGCACACTCTTCGGGTGAGGCAGGCGGTAGGAGTGAAAGAGCTTCCACACAAATCCTTTCAATGACATAAATCCGGCTTCTGGAAGTGTCACTTATACCTGAAACTTAGCAGGCATCTAGCAGAGTGCATGTTCTGATAAAGGGATTTCCATTCAGGTAAATGCGGATAAAAGCTTCTCCTCTGGTTGTGTTCTTCTGAGTGAGAAAGTAAAATATTCCCTGGACATTTAAAGCTTTTCTCCAGTGTGGACTCTCAAGTGTTGCGTGAGGAAAGATTTGTAGTTAAAAGATTTCCCACACTCCATACACTCATGAGGCCCTTTTACAGTGTGAACTCTGAGGTGTTGAATGAGAATACATTCTTTCCTGAAAGACATACCACAGTCACTACACTCATACAGTTTTTCTCCAGTGTGCATTTTCTGGTGTTTCATGAGATTGGAACTTTGACTGAATGATTTCCCACATTCACTACATTTATAAGGTTTTTCTCCAGTGTGAACTCTCCTGTGTACAGTGAGGGCAGAATGATTACTGAAAGTCTTCTCACAATAACTACACTTATAAGGTTTTTCTCCAGTGTGGACTCTCCGGTGTAGAGTGAGGGCAGGCCTGCTACTGAAGGACTTCTCACAATCATTACAGCGATAAGGTTTTTCTCCAGTGTGAACTCTCTTGTGTACAATGAAGGAATGACTATTACTAAAGGACTTCTCACAATCACTACACTTATAAGGTTTTTCTCCAGTGTGAACTCTCTTGTGTAGAATGAAGGAATGACTATTACTAAAGGACTTCTCACAATCACTACACTTATAAGGTTTTTCTCCAGTGTGAACTCTCTTGTGTACAATGAAGGAATGACTATTACTGAAGGACTTCTCACAATCACTACACTTATAAGGTTTTTCTCCAGTGTGACCTCTCTGGTGTACAGTGAGGGCAGAATGTTTATTGAAAGATTTCTCACAATCACTACACTTATAAGGTCTTTCTCCAGTATGAACTCTCTGGTGTACAGTGAGGACACTCCTACTCCTGAAGGTCTTCTCACAATCATTACA